CACCTCTATTACCACCATCGCCGCCGCCGCCGCCACCATCACAACAGCCGCCACCGCCACCGCCGCCGTCACTGCCTCCGCCACCTTTGTCTCCGCCGTCACGGCCTCCGCCACCGCTTTTTGCCGCCGCCGCTGCCACCTCCACCACCACCACCACAACCACCACCACCACGGCTGCCAATCCACTACACTCTAAACAAATAACACATGCTAATAGACGTTGCATTTCTCCATTGAATTACGCCACTCTGACTGGTGTTGTATTAAACTTTTTGTCCTCATTCAATAACATATATTTCCTTTTCGGTGGTTGATTTCTAACCGTCATCTCAAATACAGACGTAAAATCAGATTTTTTTAAAAGAAAAGTAACACTAATTATCCGCAGCGTAATAATTTAAAATGAAAAAAATAAGTCTTTCTAAGTAATAATCAGCACTTTCTCTGCTTGAAAACTCGTCAACAAAACAGTAAACATACGCGCTACGCAGCTTGCGCGCATACGTTGTACTGCGATTTATGCAATTCTGCCCCTGGCAGGTATCAGCTGTTGACAGTTTTATCCAATCGGGAGCTTGAACGTCATTTTGATGTCGTAGTGACGTCATTTTGATATCATTCAAGCTCCCGATTTGATGAAACTGTCAACAACTTATACATGCTAGGGGCACAGTTGCGAAAATTACAGTATAAGTAATGGACACTGAATGCTACTGTTAACGTTCGCTACAGAGCCTTTTTTCATACTACGGTTCGAAGAGGGCAGCGCTCGGACGAGCCTAGTTCATCCTGCTTGCCGTGGAGAAGTGGACGCCCTCTGCGGAAAGAGACCAGACTGATTGCATGGTGCACGGGCTGTTAGAAACTGCTTGAAATGGAAATACGGCTCGTGCCACAATAATGAAATGTTCATAATATATTTCCAGGTTAATAATACACCTTACTAAAATTATGGGTTATTTTCTCTATTATTATGAAGTGTATTAAACTAGCACATAATCATCAGAGCACGGAGGACCTAACTTGCCTATCCCAAGGAGCGACCACTGAATCTCAAGGTCAAAGCTTCTGACTTCGCCGCAGAACGGCACGGGAAGAAAAGACGAGGCCTTACGCCAAAGGCGCCCATACGTACGCCGCCTCTTCATGTGTGAAATATAAGGAAAGTCGTAAGAAATGCCAGGTCATCGGGGTCTGAGCGAGAGATAGTCTGCTCGATAAAGTGCATTCTAGTTCCCTCTATGAGACAGAATGTAAACTACTGCGCCAATTCGAATTTGACTCATTCATCAAGAGACGCGTATACACCAACACAGCGATCATTATACGCGTTATAATTGGCCAAAGAAGCAGCAGTAGGATGCGATGGTAACTGCCAAAGATTGCACCATCTGGTGTGTAACAAACTGCAATACGGTCAGTTCATCGCCTTAAAAACACGAATAAAAGAAAATTGAAGGTGATGTGGTAATGGCAACACTGTGAACAAGATTTCACAGAGTACAAGGTAGGAAAATGTATGCAGGAATAAATAAAAACATTTACAAAAAATTACAGAACGAAATGGATAAATTAAGAGAGGAAATGAGCAAGAAAATAAACCGCATGGCACAATCCCAAAACAAATTACTGTCTCAACAGACACAGGAAGTAAATCACGACAATACTGATCAAAAACCGAAAACTAAGGTGCCGAAAGAACCAAAAGAACAAGAGTAAGACCACATAGACATAGCAGACCGAAGAGACAGAGACAGACAGACAGACGTAGAACAACATTAGGGCGGAAAAATGAATACAAACCAGAACCAGAATAACCCAACTGCACAGAAATCGAACCCCAACACAGTGGACTCAGATCAAGGAGACTTCCAAGAAGTACATAACTTACAACAAAGATATAGACCATCTCAGGTTATTGTCGCAACAGCAAAGGAAAATGCAATACATGCAGGAGAATAGCACATACTTTCTCGCAATATTACAATGTTATAGTAATGTATGACAGGACACTCATAATGCTTCGTTAATTTCAAAAAGAAATTACGCAAAAAATACCAACTTTTTGCAAAAAGCTGTACGTGACAATTTTCAAAAAGTTAATTTTGAACAACATTCTTTGTCTGAAGCAAAAATCTCTATCTGCAATTATGTAGTTTTAATTTTTTTTTATTTTCGAAAAACCGAGCGATATTTGAAAATGAGACTAGCGCCATATTTTGCCGTCCCTTATTACATGAGACTAGAAATTTTAAAGAAAAAAAATTGGAGCGGTTTTTGACAAAAAATGCAATAATTTCAAGCGCAAATTACACAACTATTCCTTTTTTCAACTATTCCTTTTTAAAGAGCTAATTGTGTACAACATAATTTGTCTGAGGCAAAAACTTCTATCTTCCATTTTGTAATTTTATTTATTATTATTATTATTATTATTATTATTATTCTGTTGCAATTTTCGAAATATCGGGGATATAAACGAAAATGAGATCTACACCACTCTCTTAAACGTTCTTTGCACTATTCAACAACAAAATGTAATCAAAAAAGTTAGTCAATTTTTGAAAAATTTTGAGAATATCCGGGGGGTCATGTAAATCACACACACACACACACACACACACACACACACACACACAAATTAAAATATGGTTTCAAAAACCAGGGGCCGCAACGCCAGAACGATTGGGGAATATCATGATATTCCCCAATTGCAATTTTGGAGAAAATCGAGTAAATGGTTAGCGTTGTGCATAAATAGACAGACGTTTTGCCGTGAATCGATTTTTAGGGGTGCAAGAAACACGGATTTTTTTTCTACCTTTAGTAACAGCGATGTTGTAACGGTTAGCGTATCGGACTGTACGAGTAATACCCATTTTGGCGGGTTCAAACCCGACCGAAGCCGTGGAGTTTTAAGGGACTCCTTCGTACGCCTTCCTTCGGAGGGGAAGTAAAGCCAGCTACCCCATGTTAGTAGATTTACTTGCATGTAAAAGATTCTCAAGCACAAATGACGCCTCTGAGCTAAATTCAAATCGCCTGTTTCGTCGCCAAACAAATACTGCTTCTTGGTGAAAGGAGCGTAGCGAAATTTGCGTGGTCAGACGGAAGAGCGGGCCTGATGGCCCGAGTCTCGCCACGTAAAATAAGGAATCAATTCAATTCAACTGGCTTTATCCACTTTTTCGTTACTACGGCCCGGCAATAAGAGATTTTGTGTCGAAAATTCACCGTTTTCCGGCGCACGATTACAATAATGTCTCTTCTTACGTTAGCGAATCTTTTACGTGCGAGAAAATAAAAATATGTGGATATACTGAGACGTAACAGATATGTGTGGATCCCAAGAGGGACCGCGTCTATAATTTGAATTGGCACGCAAAAAAGGGGTCGTTCAAGTGCGTCAGTGTCGGCCGAACCACCATGGGCCATCGTTTTCGAAATATTTAAGAAAATTGGATAAAAACTGCAAACTTATCTCCTTGCCCCCCTCTCAAAATGGTGTAACTTTTTACCAAACAACATGTGGACCGTATTAAACAAGTTGAGAGTTGGAGGGAAACTTTTACTTCGAATGTTGAGATTTTGGTTTAATTGCTTCGTACTACCATACTCTCCCGCTCGATCGTCGTAACTAATCTAGAGAAAGTGGCATTATGTGCACATTCTGCCGCTACTATTCGGAACTACTTAGATTCAGATCAAAAAGTGAAGGGGAAAAAACACCACTTTTTGGCTTCACGCTCGCTGGCGTCATACGCGGATGATTGCGCTACGCCACGGTGTATGATGTAATTCTTGCATTATATATTTCTTATACCGTAGCTACCCCGAACCTCTCGAACCAGTTAGTTTATATTATCCGCGCACATTTTCTTGAGCACTCGCTTCGCTAGTTGCAAGAAGAGTGGGGAGTTTTGTTTATTTTGACGCGAGGAATTTTGTATCAAATTTGTATTTGATTTTCGATTAAATATATTTTCTATTACACAGCGTAAGCGAACATTTCAGGTTATCAGATTTTGTCTACAACGCTCGCTGTCGTCTTCATTCAACTAATGAGGGCAAAGGAGTGGGGGTACGTATCCCGGGGCTCAAGAACACGTACGCGTATAATAGAACAACCTCTATTCTATTACATTGTTAATATATTATTTCATGGATGGAACCTCTGCATAAATGAATTATCAGTCACGCCAACTGAAAGCGTATTTTCCTTAAGTTTCCGTGGATCAAAATGTTTTCGTTTTCAAACGTAGTTGCGCCGGAAACATTGTACAAAACCCTGCTTTTATTTTGTTTTGTGTATATAACAATTACAAAATGTATTCTATAATCTACACGCCACGATCTGTCTCCTACTTTGCAAATCCACCTTTTTTGCATGGCATGGCAACACTGAAAGGTACACTTTGTAAACAAAAATGAGCGTGTATACCAACGAGCTAGAATATATTACATAGTGGCTGAAGCGCCTCCACCTTTGAAGCAAATTGAAACCATGTTTTTTGCAGTCATAGCAGCGCCCTCTGGGAAACAAAGAATTCTAGCATTACAGTTAGCGGTGATTGCGACACGGTGTAAATGTATTTCTTCCACGGTGGTTACAGACGGTTACACCGTCTCTCGTATGTTATTGACTTCAAAAAACATGGCCATCACTAGTTCGGCAAGCCTCCACTAAGAGCGCTGAAACTATAGGGACAGTAGGTGCATAGAGTAGAGATATACCACTTGTATATTATTGTATCTCTTCTCTATGAGTAGGTGTATACAGTAAACAAACATGAACAAGATGTAAAGCGTTGGTGGGCGTTGTTAGCATATTTGATATGAAAATATACTCTCATTGATAGGTTTAATGTGCCTGGTCTTTGGAAGAATTGTCCCACAGCTTCGTTCTGTTCACGGAGTGTGCTTGAGAAATTCCCTGTATAATTTGCTAGAAATATAAATTGTGAAAACCTTCTGGCGAGTTATTGTGATTTTTGAAGTTTGTGATAACTTTATATAGTTTTTTTTTGTCGAAATATAAACTTTTACAGTATTTCATTAATTTAAGAATGACTGAAATATTATTTGTATAATTTGATAATATACAAGAGATCTTATTCCTAGCTGTGTGTTTGACAGAATTAATTCTTTTTATCTCTTGAGGCATTATAATTGACAGTATTGAAGTGAATACAATTTTGTAAAGGTTAGTTGAAAGTTCCATTTTAAGAGATTAGGTTGTAAAAATTGTCTACGTTACTTACATAAAATACTTTCATGCACAGCTGTCCTATCCAAAAGCAGACAAGTATACAGAAAACTCAAGAGAAAAAAATCAGCAAACATTAAATCTTAATGTAGAATGATCTACTGAAAACTTTGTTTTAAACAATGTATTATTACCACATGAAATCGAAATCGATATTTTTAACAATCAAGCCTTTAAGATTAACAGGATAAATTTGTAAATCCTCAATGATTTTACGACATTTAAGGGACCAATGCAAAACATCAACACAGTACAGAAAATTCTCTTCCATTGCTATTCAATATGAGCAACAGAATGTGTCAAAAGCTGTGCAATATGAACATGAGTGTTTGTCACGTGGAACACAGTGCAATATCACAACTGAATCAAGAGGTATACAATGTTCGTTAGACAATACACGTGTACTTTTTGAAAATTATAATTCACAATCTAATAGCCTCCAGTACATTTCCAAAAGCACTCAGTGGTCTTCTGATGACACATCCATAAGTACTAGTTCTCAGTCTTGTGATGACCACACTAAGGGGAATAGTTCAACAAATAATTCAAAATATACCACTAGAAGTTACCTACAAAGTAAATCAAATGAATTTCCAAAAGAAGATGCGACCTCTACTCTACATATGCATTCGTTAAATTTGGAAGGTACTTCACTTAAAAATGCTTGCTGATTATAAGTATAGAAACAATTTCAGTATTATAACCTAGAATTTAGTCTGGTGAAAAACTGATACATTGCAAACAAAACTCTGGAAATAATCCTCATTCTGTGCAAGTCATGAAAGAATGTCATGTAAATATTTTCTTTCAGGTTCCCAGATGATTGGAAAAGATTTTAATACAAAGCAAACACGAAGATTAAAATCTGGGAAGAAGAATCTTTCCGCATCAATCTTGTTTGGTTCAATCATAAGGCAAAGAAAAAATACCTATGCCTCAAGTACCACATCTGGCATTACAGAAATGTTTAGTTCTCGGTAATGCTTCATATTATAATCATAAGAATGTAGCACCTTATGCCAGAATCTTACTTGGCCATACTAAATGTTCTTAAGATGTCCCATATGAAACTCATAGGAAGAACTTCTTTTTTCTTGTTTAAAGGATTAATAAAGAAAAAGCCCTGATTTTCTTACAAGAATATAATGATACTCTTGAACATCAGTGATGAATCTAGGGTGATGCTTGTGAAATCTTTTAAGTAGCGTGTTTATATCCTTTGCTTCATTCAAAACTTACAATTTTTGCCTTAGGTCTGGTTTAGAGTCTGTAGAAGACAATGCAGTATCAGTTGACCTTCCTGTGCAAGCAGTAAAACCAAAGAAGAAACATTTGTGGTCAGGTAATGACTCTGTGATTTCGATCTCTGCAAGTGAATGTTCTTTAGATTTTTCTGAGTTATACCCTGAAACCCAGAAAACCTTTCCAAAATGTAAGTGGAAAAGTAGCAGAACATTATCTATTCAACCTAGAAGTAAATACACTTATGATGAAGAACTGACTATTATTGAGTATATATCAGAAAAAAAAGTGTATAAACAGGTGGGAGGTGTAGCCATGTGGCAGTGTATGGAAACGGAAATAAAAACCAATAGAACTTGGCAAAGTTTAAAAGAACATTTTCGGAAAAAAATTCTTCCAAATATAGATGAATTTAATCTTCCAAAGAAAGTGGAGGAATCATTTCATAGAATAAACATGAGGTAGAACTAATTTAATTACGAGATGTATATGCCTTTCGTCAGAGAAAAGTAGACTGAATCAGAATTATCGAAATAACAAGTTTTTGTTTCTATTTTGCAAAAAATTGTGGGCTTTTTACTGAAAATATATGTAATGTATCAATAAAATTATTATGTTTGTGTATTTTTATTGGAAATGTAATCAAATGTCAGTAATGTGTCAATGAAATGAATTTTTCAGAAAGTAAAGAAAGTCGTGCAAATCTGTCAATGCTGCAACATTTTTTTTCCTCCAAAATTTATGACAAACTTCTTTGTATGTTATAGACTTATACATTTTCTTTGTAAATTTAAACTAGAACGTGTGTGTGTGCCTAAAACCCACACACACTTTTTTCCTTCACAATATTATTAAACTCAATATTTCACTGGGAAAGATAGTATTTGTTGTGAACCAATGAGCGTTATTTAATCTTAAATACAATTCTTAGAATATTCCACTTAGTACATGGCTTGTGCTGCTTTGAGTGCTCAAAGAGCCTGCCACCACAACAAAGAATTCATGAAAGATTTGAACCACTTCAAGGTTGCGCTTGTCAGTCAGTCAAGAAGGATGCATAATTTTCCTAAAGAGAATTGGAGCATTTGTATGTATAGGAGAATTCCGTGCCAAGAGATTTTGGTGATGTGGATAGCAGCTGAATACCCCTAGATCCTTAATCAAAGTAGTCACACATGCACAGTGCTGTAAGTAATATGATTTAATTTGATTTTTTTCCCAGAAAACTTTTTCATCATTACAGATATTGACTATGTAATACAAAAGTATGTCTCAGATGACGGTTTCAGCATGTTTATTAGTTTGTAGTAGAATACCTTCAATTCTTCATGCAAGCTTGCTGCTAAAAAGATTTTTCTCTTTTGCCAGAGGCTGGATTAATGTATTATGGGACCCGTTAATATAATTAAAATAAACAATATTTGAAATTTAAAAATTATAATTAAAAGTTTGAATATTTATATATGTTAACTAAATAATAAAACAAAGAAAGCTGTACCTATTTAAAAATTATTGGAAGTCCCTAGGCATGTGCTTCTACTTTGATACACTTCTACTTATATAACTGAAAGTGACTTTGGGGGGGGGTCAGTGGGAGGAAATTGTCAATACTTTTAGTGACCGCTATCAGACTGCTCCAATTGAATTTTAGTGACATGAATTTAATGGTGGACTTTGGTTTTACCTCCTTTTTTTCACTTCACAAATCCTTGAATGTCAAAACCAAAAATTGAGAGATGAGCAGTCATTGATTTTTCATGCAAACTATTGTAAAGAAACCTTCCACCTTTTAGACAAAACAGTTCTTTCACTCTGGATAAAAACGTGCAAAATCTTGAATTTAGCCCATTTTTTTTTATTTGTTTTGGTAGACTTTTTTAAGTAGGCCTAGTGTATGTTAGTGTACTTTGTTTTTAAAAACTGGTTGTCAGTTTTTTGTATTTACACTACAGCATGTGTAATATTACACGTGCCTATCAATCTCATCGATTGATGTGGCATGCTCATGTGGTTGCATATCTACAAACTGCATCAAAGAGTATAGAAGATATGATTTGATACTATTCTATTTATGTTTTACTAGCTGAATACACACGATTACATCACACAGAAGGAGAGGTGTAGATACATTACCAATAAAAATACTATTTCTATGAATATACATGTTTTATATCGCGCATACCATTCTTGATGCTTTGCTGCGACTAGGATCCATTGCATTGTCAGGGTTAGTTTTCTCGGCATCCTACAAGATGTATTGGTTTATATGTTGGCTAATGTTACTGATTTGATAATATTGATAATTGATATATAAAGCTATTGATGTATCTTGTTAGTCGTTCATCATACATTTGCAAACAGCAAAATTAGAAACTATTGTTGTTTTGAAAGTGAGAGCCCGCGGATGTCTAACAGTATCTGACCAATTCTGACACCAACGAGACAGTTTGGGAAAAAGTGTTTTTGTAGTTTCAGTGAAATCTGTGAAAAATCAAATCAACGTCTGACGCGGCGACACCCAATTAAAAACAAATATCTGATGCCATCAATGTTATTAACCCTTCATTACTGTGATGGGGTTCTGGAGTCACCTGGCCAAAGTATAAATCATTATAATTCAGAAACAAATTACTAGATAGTGCTCATGTAGCCAGTATACTTCAGTAGCATTGTGTTATTAGTTTTGACTCATGTGAAGTGATTTGATATAATTATTATTTCTTTTTTGATTTTTATTTCTGGAATTAATGGGAAATGGTCCCAGAATACCCCACTGTAGGGTTAACATAACGTTATTTTTCATTCCCTTGACTGATGTTTCGTGTCTTCTTTCGACTGTTGCAATTTGTTTTACAGTATAATCATAAAGCAAACTCCCCTTCCTTCAACATCTTTGAAGTCAGAACCAGAACCAACTAGAAAAGCAAGATACATGTGAGCAAGAAATGCGGTCAGAAACACAGATAGTTTGTGAAACAAATGCGGTGACATATATGTCCAGATCACAGAAATTCAAAGTGTAAAAATTGTAATCTACTTTTTTTCTTATAATAAACACTGTAAATGATTCAAAGAACTAATTTTTAAGAAGAAATAAAAATAAAGAATTTTTTTTTTTTTTTTTCATTGTGATAAATAGTGATATACTTCTTTGGGCACGTGAGGATGAGGACTCTGCTAGTTTAGGTGTAAGTGAATTTCACCTGAGTAGTTAAGGGTTAAACATTTCTATCGATGGTTAACCTGCCATTACAAATAACGAAAATTGACAAACGTTCCATAGTCCTATTGTATTAGTAATCTGAAGAAAAAGTCTACCTAAAAATTTCTGTGATGACATTAAGCAATTCAATCATTACGATGTGGTAACTATTTCCCGTTATAGACCAAACTTATGTCCATTAATATATGTGTAAAAATCTTAGTAAATATAAAACATGCACATGTTCATGGAAATGCAGTAGTTTGAGGTAACTTTTCATCAGCTCTCCTTCTGTGCGATGATATCGCGAGGGTGCAGCTAGTAGAGTATAGGTTTGTTCCATCAGCAGTCCGAAACAGTCCCGAACTAGTCCGCGAATGCGCATCCTAGTATTGGGCGTTCCAGCAGCAGCAGTCAGGGATTGTGAATGAGAGTTGGGCGTTCCAGCAGGGTTGCTGATTAGTTTGAAACCAGTCCGAAACAGAATCGGTTCGTGCACTCTCCCTCAAACTAGAAATCCGCGCATGCGTACTTCGGTCCCCGAGTTCCCGCCAACGCCAAACTTCGACGACGCGCCATTTACGTTTCCATTAGGTTTCTGCATAGTTGTTTTACATTCTGCTCTATATATTTTGACCCTGATTTATTTTACATTTTATTGATCCTTGGTTTTTGGTGATTTCGCCTTCTTTCGGATTTTTCTCGTGGATATTGGAATTTGACCCTGCTTTATTTTACGTTTTGTTGATTTTCTAGTTTTTTTCAAATATTACTTATCCCGCGCTTCTTTAAAATTTATTTTTATTTATTTAAAGTTAAAACGATGGGAAGAGATTCTGGAACTCAAGAAAACATGCGCAGATCATCATCTCCCCCATACGTCAAATACAATTTTTTACTTTTTTTACTAAATCAATCTAAATCTAGATTCTTGGATTTTGGTGAGTTAGCTATCTTTCGGATTTTCTTGTGGATATTGGAACTTGATATTTGTTTCTTTTTTTGGGAAATGGAAGGTAAGTAATTTTAAGGAAGTTTCTTGTACCGTGACTTACTAAATATATATGTACTTATTTACCGTTCACGATTGGGTGGGACATCAAAATCGACCTTTGACTTTCCCGTATACGTACGTATATACGAAGTAAAGTATAGGGAAAGTTATGTAATGCTGCGGAAAATCGATTTCGACGGAAATACACGTTTTGAGGTTCCCTGATACCAAAATTTTTTTTTTCTTCAAAACGTCCATCTGTCCGATGTCTGTGAACACTACTAGCGCGTAAAACATGCGTGGGATTTTTTTTTTTTTTTTTTTTCAAATTGAAGAAACTCTCTGTCCATCTGGCTCGAGTTGAAACTTTGAGATTTTGAGGGAAAAAAAACTTTAAAATTTGAGGATACTTTTCATAAAGATCCCTTGACATTTTCAAAATTTCTCAAAAACGGCTCCAAATTTTGTTTTTAAATTTCTTATAAGAATAGAGTAAAATACACTTATAAAAGAGGCGCAGGTCCGATTTTTATGGTGAATTCTTAACTTTTGCAAATAGCAAATATATGAGTTTTTTGCGGGGCCTTCCTACGACTACAAAATTAAAGATCGAATTTTTCTTCAAATCTAATTTGTTTTCCATAGTGAGTTCTTTCATCAAGGTCATTTTTTTACATATATACATTTTTTTTAAAATTTTAGCAGTCTTCGCGCAATAATGCGTGCAATTTTTTAAAAAATTACAAAAACATGATTTTCTCAAAAACTGCTCTAAATGTTTTCTTCTTACTTTTGGTAGTGATAGTGCTAAATGTACTCTAGAGGAATATTGTGTTTATGTCATTTTATATTCTTTATTTTTTCAAAAATGACTGTGAAATTTTTGTAAAATTATAATGTAATTTTAAAATTACAAAGCAATTTTCTTGAATTGTCTCTCAGCGTTGTTAATAGTTACATCAGCGATTTGTTCACATTATTACATTGATGTGTACATGTGCTTTAAATAATATCGGATAAAGTTTTGTGAAAACTCAACCGTATTATGTGAAAATTCTGCATTTTTAGAAATGCTCGAACGCTGTTTTCTCAAAAGCGGCTCCAAATTTTTCCTTCAAGCTTTTCAAAAGGATAGTTCATATCAGGATATTTTTTTTATTTTTTTCAAAAATTACACTAATATAATGAATGAAAGATCTTTCATGTTGTTGATATGCACATTTTTAGCAATTTGAAAACAGTATTGTATTTGTGAGTTAAAGTACTTAAAATTACTTCAAATGAAGTTCTTCGAAAACTCAAAACTTTTCGAGAAAAAGAGCTTCAAATTTACAGTTGTGCTTGAATGCCAGTTTTTAAAAATTAGTCCAAATTTTTCGGAAAAGGAAAATTGCTATTTAGGACACGGATTTACTGTTCTTTAATATTCTTAAAATAATAATAATGTTCTACTATGAGGAAATTAAAAAAATTAAGAAAATTTCAAAAAAATGTGCATTGGCGGCAATAGATGGCAGAAGGAAAGAGAATGTGGCAAGTTCGAATAGCTAGCAGAGACCATAGGAAATAGAAAACTAAGACGAGAAAGTCTGTGCCATTCTGTAGCATCACTAGTTTGCATATGTATGATGATACGATTTGATTGCATCATGTGTGAACACAAGTCAAACATGCTGAAACACACCTATAGGCTGTGTGATAAATTGTGACTGACAATTACTGTGGTAAATTGTTTTCAGTAGCCTAATTATTTTATTGTCATTTAAATAAAATCTGAATCAGATATTTTGTATAAACTTTCATTACTACGTAGTAATTTTGAAGTCATTTACTTTAGCTTGTTCACAGCTATTTGTAATTTAAAAAGTGAAAACCAAAAAAGAACAAACAACAAAAAAAGGACAGTTATAAGAAATTTAAAACATTAGAATTATTATGAGAGATATAACAGTCTTGCAGCACTGAATGAGGGGATGATTTAGTAACCTCAAAGCACTTTACATGATTTAACCTCAAGATTCACCCTTAAAACAATGCCACCTAAGTAGCTGCGTCTTGTTCCCTACCATCTATGTTATTGAAAACTTCCAAATGAGAAGTTAATCACGTCAGAAAATCAAGTTAGAAAAATGTGGATTTGTCCATGTCTCCAATCAATCTGAAGAGTTGACCCACACCACCTGCTATTCATTGAGAACTGAATTTGTCATTGGGACCAAATGGATTTTTAAAATTCTAGTCATATCACTTGTGCTGCAGATAAGTTATTGCAGTGCTAGGCTAGCTAACCTCATTTTTAAGTTTTATACTGAATTTTTTTCACCTGGTATTATTTCAATTTTTTGCCTTGTGGTGAGAAATAGCTTTAATAAAGATTGTATGCTGTCAATAATATATTTTTGGATGTGTTTAGGCTTGTTTGTTTGGTTAATTATGTAGCTTCAAATTGATAATTAAGATTAAAAGAGAGATTGAAGGCAAACATGACTGCGGTGTTACCTCTTAACTCTGTCCCAATTCCTTCCCAATTAAAACACAACCAGACTGGCATCCAACTGCTTTGAATATCCTTGGGTATCACCATGGATTGCATGATTTCTATACATTACTTCTAGTCATGTAATACTTACTAGTCTTCAGTGAAATATGGTCATCCAGTTATGGTACAAGGAGATGTTGAAGGCAATACACTTTATTGATTCAGTCACAAAAGGAGTTTTAATAGTGTAATCCTGATTGACAAAAAGAAGGGTAACTGACCTGCCTTTAAAGGATTCAGATTATTTTACTGATTCAATTTCTCAGGTAGGTAATGCATTAAGATGCAAAAGAAATGAATATATAAATGCTGCCCACACAAATATTTATATTAAGTATTTCTTTAAAAACGAAGCATTCTACAATGTAGAAAAAATATAAACAATTTAAATAATCCTAAAAATATAAAACTTTGTTCATTTAAAAGAAACTTTTGTAGGATACATTAGCAACTAAAATATACATCAACAATAATGCAAACATAATTGCAATATAATTTCTTCTTACTCTGTTTATATATATGTATTCTTACTACTTATATATACATACATACATACATATATTTCACTGGTTTACTCCTTCATTTGAAAATATCACATTACTGAGTATTGTAAGCCTTATCTGCAAGCACAAGGTACTTTAACTTAAGATCACAGTACACATATACTAAAACACTAACATGTAGTGCTATTTGACTTATACATGCTCTTAGAAGTCAACACAGGTTTTCTAGAAACAAACTGACTGTTTCTTGATATATAGTAACATTAAGGCTGTAACAAATGCATTACTGTAAACTACTCGCAGTGAGCAGCTCAAAGCAATATGTTTAAGTACTACTATTTATCAGCATAAATTAAGTATATATATATATACACATACACATGGAGAGGTATTCTAAAATATTTTTATTATACAAAATGAAATTAAGAGAACTGTCAAGTAAATTTAATGAACACAGTACAACACCCAACATATTGTAAGATTTACTAGTATGATTTATTTTCACTTGCATTTACCATTTTATTATAGGTAGTATTGATTTTAGTTATAAGTTATCAGTCAATTTACACAATACTGTATAATCTGTCAAGTTAAAATCATGCCTCGTCAATCAATCAATTTCTCGGCAATCTCTTATCTCATACAATTTAACACTGCTACAAAAAATGATTCCTTGCAGAAAGGTATGTCATGTTTCTATCAATTTCATTTGAGACAAAATTTTTAAACAAATCTAATTTATTGTAAGTGAATATAATAAGTCTTAAATTTTATGAAGAATCACAAAAACATAATTTTCATCTAGTTGCTAGTTTTTCTGTCCTATTTGTTTTTATTAGTGCAGCAGTTTTATAAACTTGAATCTATTGCACATTCTGTTTTGTAATGTCAAGTTGGCAACATGTATTTACTTAATAAGAAATCTACTGCTTACCTTTCAACATCTGTTTTCTCCTTATATTTTTATTAAAAATGCATTCCCATTACTATTTGGTTTGCTCAAAGATATTGTTTAAACTAATTCATGTTTTCTGCACCTTATTTACATGAATAATAGCATAAATTCTTAGATTCTGTGTTGCTACAAGAAAATATATGTATATATGCAAGTGCTTTCTATCTCACTGAGAGAAAGAAGGAAGATCTTATGATATGATCTTTGGTTTAGTTTCAAGAGAATGCCTTACACATAAGTACATCATGGAAACAACCACACAAAAGGAGTGGATTAGAATGACAGCAGAAAATGACAAATTCTGAATATAAGAAGGCTTACTCTCCTCTTTTAATAATTGAGATTCTTTTTCCTGCAAAGAAAGGATTAGCCTTTTCCTAAGATACTGGTGCTGGTTCCGGAGGTGGAGTAGGAGTAGAATTCATTTCACGTACACGTTTCACTAGCAGCCATAATGTAAAAATGGCTAAAGCCCAACCTTGGATGCCAGCCAAAAGGAAGAAATAGTAGTCCAGATGTCCCTAAAATAAATAAATAAATAAATAAATAAATAATAATAATAATAATAATAATAATAATAATAATAATAATAATAATAATAATAATAAAAAGAGATTCCTGTTCATCATAGGAATAAAAAATTTGGTTAAATTTGCAATTTTTCATTTTTTTTTCCAGCTCCAAATTTTTGTTTTAATGTTTATCTTAGATGCAGCTAAAGACACTTTAATAAAATGAGAATTATGTCATCTTTTTGTTTTCATGGAATTTTAAGTGAACTTTGGCCAGTAATAAAAACAAGTATTTTCCCCCAAAAGGCTCAAAATTTTTTCATTAAACTTTTTGTGTGGATAGTCCCAAATGCACTGAGTAATTTGACATAAACACAATTTTGAAGTATTCTTTTGATTAAAAAAAAAAAAAAAGAAAAAAAAATTATGCAGTTCTCAAGTTATTAACATTATGGGCTTTTATCTTCTCAAAAAATCAAAAGTTATAGGTGAAATTGATCTGAAATTTGTCCATTTTCAGAAATCCTCAGATGATATATATTCAAAAAGGCTCCAAGCTTTGCAACCAAAACCAACCTGGAAATGTTGTGAATCTTTGCGTATCCAAGTGGGGCTCAAAGCAGATATCAAAGCTGTTCCTAATAATGATCCAATTCCTTCCATAGCAGAAAACATGCCCATTGCCACACCTTGCAAGGGACGGGGAGCAGCTGAATAAGCAAACTCGAGACCTTGAAATAAAATGATAGCGCAAGTGAAACAAATTCATTATGAGGCAAGATTTCTGCTTATACACTTTTACTTAATATAGTAAATAACTGGCAAAGAGCAATGTTCATACCTGCAACTCCTGCAAACACTTCTGCCGTCCCAACAAGGCAATACTGAGGTACTTGCCAGAGCAAAGACATATCACTTGCATTGTATGTGACATTATGTATCACTTGTGTTACTCGGTTCCTACAAAATATTTTTAAAGTAAAGAAAGAGTTTAAATCTATGAATGTTGTAAGTTCACAAAATGTGAACGTTCAGAAAAATAGCTTAGATCAGTGAGTGTTAAGATTAGTCAAACCAATGTTCCTCACCCATGTTTCCACTGATAAATAGACAGAAACTCCAAAACACCAGCTGCAATAGCTGCCATGAAGCTGAAGCTCATACCAAAAGCTGTTTGCAAATTATTGTAAGATTAAATTATTACTAAAAAATAATTAATTATATATAACAACACAAGAAATTCAATACAAACCAATTCGTGATAGCAGAGTCACCCGATAACCATGGCGATCAAAATAAGGATATATTACACTGTTCATCACAGGAATAAGTGCCAAAATAAATATTTGATCAAATAAACTAAGCCAAGCGGTGGGCATCTAAAATAAAAGACATTTATTTTTAATAATAATGTTTTCTATTTTCTTTTCATGATATACTTCATAATAAAAAAATACAAACATTAAAGTTTTTCTCAAAGCCTATTTTCAAGTGTACTCCTTGTTCTTGAAATCCAGTTTCAATCTGTAAAAGGAATTTTCAAAAAATACATTTCAATTTGCGTCAAAATATTATATCTTCTAAAAATTGCTAGTTTAATAAAATATTATTTAAAAGTAATGGAAATGATATTTTCCTAGAAGGAAAAACATACCTGGAAGAAAACGAGCCAATATGGTAGGAGGCTAGTAAACAATAATAATACAATGCCCAGCTTCTTCACATCTTCTACAGCTGCATCATGGTGAGAACCTCCATACCTGATCTTTGCATAATCAAGCCATGATGGAGATGTCACTGGTCGCTGTGATCTTCGTTCAATGAGAGGTGAACTGAAAAATAAATAAAACTACTGAAATCTGGAAGTATAACTCTTATCAACAGTGATGTACATTGAGTTCACGACATCTGGGGAATTAAACAACAAGCTGCCAAACTTGATGATGGTAACGTGATGGTAGCCAAACTTCTTAACCAAGCTCTGTGAAGTCACAGAAGTTAAGCAGCCTGAGACATCACGGATCCTTAGAAGGGAACCTGCGATACCAATGGTGCTGAGCCTCTGGCTGATAAGGATAAAAGGCAATAGCCTACAACTTCACTTCATGTACAACCAAATAAGTTCAGGTAGAATTATTCCAAGCTTGAGGCCAAAAAGGCTTAGAATGTTGCTAAACAAATAACAGAATTTTATAAAAAGGTGATTCACTCCATCTGTTCAATTCTACCCAACTTGTATTAGTAAAAACTACAAATGTTTATTAAAAAAAACAAAAAAAAAACAACAGCATGTTTATCATTTTGGCTTCATACTTACGATAAGAAGGTAGTTAGGGGAAATATTAATGATAGGTGAGAATAAACAGTAATACAATTTATAATGGAAATTTATTAATTGAAGGACTTTACTTTGATAACAATTTCAAATAATAAGAAAAATCTAAAATTAAACAACCACATTATTACAAAAAAATCATTAAATTTAATAAAAATAATATTTTCAAATTAAATAATTTTGAATTAAAATTTTTAGATGACATTATCCTCCTATAATGGTGTCTTCTAGAGTGCACCACCCCCTACTGTCCCACGAGGTGGCATTCAACATTTGACTACATGCATTAATACTATCAGAAATTCTGTCATTTTGTAGAATTGAAATTATTTTTTACTGCTATTAAGCCACATAACATTTGAAAGCATTCCATTTGGTCATCATTGATACAGCTCTTTAGATTAGAAAAACTGTAAATGGTCATTAAATATAACTCTAATGATGTAAAATAATTAGTTCACTCAGAGTGATACAAATACAGAGGCTTTGCCCTCCTCATTCTCCGAAATGTTTTGTAATTTTACTCGATTGAAAGTAATTACCATATATTATTACATAGTATCGCAGGGATATATATTGAATAAGAATACACTTCTTTCTTTTTCAGGGGATATCTTAGAAAAATATATCAAATACAAACGACAGTATTTTAATGATTGATTAAGTTTCATTTTAGAGATAATCTAAGATCAAAGATCCATCATATTTATTACTTATTTTTCAATATTCATTATTGCTTACCTCTGAATGCTTGTCTGACGACGCAGATGGCAACGTCCAGAAATTGCCTCACGGAGAATACACAGAATATTCATAAGAACTGAACCAGCAGGCCGATGCACCAGATAATAAGGTCGACCACACGCAAAAAGTATCAATGCGACTATTAAACAACCACAGGTACCAGCAAATGCACGTAAAAATCCATTGGGCATATCCAATGCAACGTAAGACAGGGCTCCAACACCCAGTAAACTACCAATATTTACACACCAGTAGTACCAGTTGAAAAAGCGACGTAAAGAATCTGTACCTCCATATTTGACCTAGTAAATACAATATGTATGTTGAACGTTAACTAATTAAAATTTTATAACATACAGTAATCAATTTCACATGCTTATCATTAACATAAATTATCTGTGATGGAAGAAAAAAACAAGAACATTACAAACCTGTTCTGCACCAAAAGAAGGAAAATTGGCCCTCACAGTTCCAGCAGCAAAGCCAACACAAATAATAATAGCATACATTTCAGTCACACAAAATGGACTGGTAGAATTTGCAGGGTTGCATAGAACCCCTGCAGCAGCAGCGGTCAGCAAAGAAAATCCCACAACATACAAAGAAAGTCCTGCTACAAGAGCCCAGTATCGGCCAATCCATGCATCAGCCAACCAGCCGCCTCCCAGGGCTGAGAAATGAGCAACTCCAACCAACAGTAACACCGCAGTCATTCCAGAATCAGGAGACCATCGTCCTAAGCTCAAAAACAGGAAAAGGTTTGCAACTAAAGCATAGAATGCTAGCCGCTCTAATGTCAATGTGATGAGCACTAGAACACCAGCAATGCAACTTCGTCGAGGATCCCATGGTAATTGGCCAGTTTGTGGACCCTGCTGAGGTCTTATCATCAAAGGAGTAGTTTCATCCATATTGTTATGTTCGTATCTAAAAAACATGGAGCTACATTTGAGTTTTTAACTCGAAATTTTCGAATGAAACATTATTTGAAGTCATTAAGCATAACCCACCTTTCAAAGAATTGTATTTTCTCTTGATTAAAACACCTCGTCAGAATCTTTTAGTTTTTTCTCTGTGAATACCATATTCTTATTTATCTCCATCATATATATATACATTTGTACACAAAAATGTAAAGATCCCCAATAAATGACAGGTGCATCTCAAATACTTTTGACAAGTCGTTCAGTGCACCAGTGCACTATAGGTTTCTTCGTTGCCAACACACGGAACGTTTGGATAGAAACAACACCCTCAAGGAAAAGCATATTTTTTTTACCATTTATTATCATGTATTAATTTTTCGCAATCTTTGATTTAGAAATGAGAGTAACATGTTATAAATATTGTCTTGAAAAACTTCATAACAGTACAGATTACGGAAAGTAATGTTGGTTACCCGGTAATCAGCTGCATTCGAAGGGTTCATGAAAAAGAAGGGAGTATACAAAATAGGGTTCAAACACAATCGAAGAAGAGTAAATGGCAACGAGTTAGAATATAGTAACTCCTTAGCATATTCCAAATCGTTGGTAAATGGCTTTTTAAGTTTTAGTTTTCGTGAATTTTGGTGAGGTTATTCGCAGATAACAAATTTGCCTCTCTCTGATCTCTGCTGTTGCGCCCGGAGAGTGTGCGCCACAATTCTTGTGAACTTCGCAGTATGAAGGTATTGAACTCTTTCGAAGAGGTCAGATTGTCTCCTCTTTGATGTATTTTATATTTTTATTGTCCGTGATCTATGTTCGGCTGCGTGCAGAGAGTATACTTCAATTTAATCGTACAGACCGCTGTCGTTCATCAGCTGTTACGGTGTCATCCAATCCAGAGCTTAAATGTCACTACTATAATTGACATTAATGCTCTCAATTGGATAGCACTAAAACAGCTGATTTCCGTCAACGGACTGTATATTTAAATCGTTTTATAGACGAAGTAGATTATAAGCAGAGTGCATGCACTTGACGTAAATCAGCTTTCCACGGTTTCATCCAATCGGAAGCTTGAACGTCCTCATATATAGCCGTCCCGTCACTATAGCGACATTATGATCCCGATTGGATGATACTTCAACAGCATACGCATTTACGTCAAGTGCATGGCTACATAAATCTATAAACTATAGACATAGAACCACTCAGGAATCACTGAGCAACACTGAGAACTAAGCAAGCACGGAGTGTGGTACGTGTGGTATGATTTGGCGTTTGCTGTTGCGGTGCTGTATAATAAATCCCCTATAACATTCTGCGTGTAATTTATATCATGGATGCTTATGACTTGTTCAAGAAGTTGTCATATGGTGCAAAATTCACACGCAGGAAACTTGACAGTATCCAAAAATCCAAGCAGGTAAAATGTGCAGGTTATGTTGAGGCGTGAGGCATTAAATGTGTATTATTGTGTTATTGTAAATTATATATTTCAGGAAACTTCTTCTGTCGTTAATGTCAATGCTGTGAAAGAGGAAGTATCAGTTAAACCAGAACCTTCAATAAGTAACCATGAAGATATGAAAAAAAGTGAGGTTACAGAGTTAACACTATTAGGTTCAATGACAACAGAAGGAGGAATATTAGGAAATAAATCGAAGAAGAAAAAGAAAAAAATAGATCCAGAAGTTAAAGCAGCTATCTTGGAACAAGAAAGGGTAAATTGATTAATTTTTTTAAGTAATGCAGTGGAGTCTTTTTACTTTTAGATAGCTTTCTTTTACATGTTGATTACTGAAAGTTTTGTGAAGTATTGTATTGTAATAAACTAGCTGAACCTGTGCAAACATTCCTTACATTGTAAATCATTGTTTTGAAAATTGCTTCACATTGAATCCCAACTTTACTTTAGTAAGTGAATTGCACTTTTACACATGCTTCGCATGACAACCCTATTAACATGCCACATTTCAAGTTTTTGCTCATTTCTGACCACCCTGCCATGGAGTACAGTTAGCCAGAATAGGTAATTTCATTAATTTCTTCTCTCCACTTGATCCCTACAAGTTTCCCTGATATACTCCCCTAACATGTTTACTCTCTTGTTTTTGGCATACCTCCATACTGTAATGAAAGAACCTTTTAATTAAAAGGCAATTGCTTAAGGGTTTAATAAACTCAAAACAAAAACATGTATTCTACATTCTTATCATTCAAGTAACCAAGTGTAATAAATAAACAAACTTCTTCATTTAAGATCATAATTGTCCGAAGAAGGTGGCAGCCTCATTTTCTTTAATCTACGGATCCCATTGTCTTTAACTTCAGTCTTTTAAATTGTAAATTTTTGGTTCCTCTTCTGGCAGGTCATCTTGGGAGGGTTGTGGATTATTATTTATGTCTTCAATAGGTACTTTGTCTTCAACATGCCATTCATTTGTTGGAGAAAGATGCCGAAGGTTTACAGTCAATTCTCTACCACCAGGAAGTTTCCCAAGGGCATAATTTTGGTTTGCTTTTAGCAGAGTGTCCTCTTCTAGCAGATCATATTTATTTTGTTGGATCTGTTTTCTCACATATACTTTATCAGGAGTTGTGAACGGTAATGGTAGAGCTACACCTGAAGCTGATCTTTGTGATGAAACATTCTTTCATGAGGTGTAGTGTTAGTTGATGTACAAAGTTGAGCTTAAATAGCATTTAAAGCATCATGTAGCACTCTCTCATTGCAAAATCTTTAGGCCCTTAGGTTTCAGAGCCAGAGTGATAGCTTTCCATGTAAAATTATTATATCTTTCTACTTGACCATTTCCACAGGGTTTATATGATGTTCCTTGACTGGTTGCTACACCAACGGAATGTAGGTTGTTTCTAAGTTCTTTGGATATAAATGAACAACCTCTATCTGAATAAATGTAGGAAGGATATCCCAAGATAATAAAAACTTATTTGAGAGCTTCAATAACTGAAGAAGTTGATAAATTGGGGCAGGTATAGCGAAAGGAATCCTAGAGTATTAGTCTATTACTGAAAGGAGAAATTTATTGAGTGTTTCAGATGGTATTGCACTGTTGAAGTCTATACTGACACAATCGAATGGTGATGTAGCTTTTATGAGAATTTAAAAAGTCAAGGTTTGACTTCAGTGCATGTTTTGCAAGATAAAGATAAAGTAACCATCCTCTCTTCTGCAATCATGTAAGGAGGTTTTGACATTTTACCCAGTGAGTCATTTGAGTAATCCCTAGGTGAGACAAAAGTCATATAATGAAGCCAATTTCTCTAAGGTATGTATTGTACTACAAACTCGTGAAAATATGTCAGCGGCCACATTTTCTTTTCCTGGGTGATAGATTCTCATAGATAGCGCAGCAAGTTTGAAGCACATTGAATACGTTGAAAACGATGACCAATCGGGTAGTGTCTCCATTTTCGCAAGGCTTCAACTATTGCATACGTTTCTTTCAATACAGATGAGTGATGTAGTTCCCTCTTTGAACGAGTCCTGGAAAAGAAAGCTTTTTGTTTTGTGTAAGAATAGCAGCAATGGCATGATCTGAAGCATCTGTTTCTACACAAAAGGGTACATCGTCATCTATGTTCATCACAACCTTATTTCTGAATATCAGATTTTAAATCAAAGAACTTTTGGATTTGAAGAGTGTTCGTAGGAAACTTTTTACAATTTGTTAACTTGTGGGTCTTGTGGGAAAAGCTTTGAATCCATTTTGAATGTTAAGAAAACATACCTAAACGCTCTCTTCACTGCTTTGCTATTTTGGGGAGGTCAAGTAAGGGTTTCAGGCAATCGGGATCTGGCCTTAGTGTGTTATTTTTTATTAAATAACCTAATAGTTCTGTACATTTTTGACAAAACTTTGATTTCTATTTGTTTAGAGTGAATTTGTACCTTTCACACACTTGTAAGGATTGGTTCAAATTTCTGTCATTTTCTTATCTTTTTCACTAACAGAAACATCATCTAGGTATGCATTTTCTCCTTCCAAGCTTTCAACTTTTATAATCTCATCAATTTTTGTCTGGAAAGCTGCTATACCATTAGTTACTCCTTTTGGAATTCTTTTGAATTGCCAGAGGTTTCCACCCAGTTCAAAGGCTGTATATAGCTTGTCTTCATCTCGAATTGGTATATAATAATAAGCACTTTTTAGGTCAATTGTGCTAAGCACATTATTGGCAGCTACTTTAGATGCAAACTTTTCAATTGAAGGAATAAGGTATGCATCTAACATTAACTTATTGATTGTCTGAGAATAGTCTACTACCATGTGTTTTTGATGTCTTTCATTTAAAACAAGAACTTACGCTCTCCAGGGAGATTTGCTCTCTTCAATCACACCAGCCTCCAACAACTTACTGATTTCATATAGAAAAAACTGTTTGTCATCTTTAGAATGACATCTAGATTTTACAGCAATAGGTTTGCAATATGGAAAGAGATATTCAAGTAATAATGCTGGATTTAGTTGAACACAAGGCAAATTACAAATTTTAAGGGGTGGTTTTGTACCACCAAAAGCTATAGATAGATTAGAGTGCTGTTCCAAAATTTCATGACCCAAAATGACATCTGAACATAAGGTTTGTGATACTTGTAATTTTATATTTTGGTAAGTATAACCAAAACCTGTAACTTCACCTTATAGTAGGCTTTTACTGAAGATGGCAAAGAAGACAATGGCATTAAAACTTGACTACTTGTTGGATATTTTTGAATATTAAATTTTGAAATAAAATGATCACTGACGAAACTCTTAGAGCTTCCATTCATAAGGTCATCAACATCATGTCGACTTACTTTCATCTTAATAGTGGACTTTGAAAGGCATTTTGGTGGTGCAGCAGATACTTTTGAAATATTTATTTCATTTAGCAGATACTTCTGATTTTCGGGATGTTATTGTAGCTAATACAGAGGCTGAAATCTGTTGACCAGATTTTCTTTTACTGGATTTGCATAGTTTTGAATAATGTCTTTCTTTTCACAAAGTTTTACAGATGGTATTCTGAGCTGGACAAGAGCTATGAAGGTGTCTATTGAATCCACAAAAGTAACCTTTTCGAATTAATATTAGCAATTACTTTTTCTAACACTCATCAGTTCATGGCCAGATCTCAGATGATGCCTGTTGAGACTAATGTTGATAAGATTGTGTCATTTTGTAGGATTCAGAGTACAAGAAAGTGATTTCAAGAACCAAGCTTTAGTGAAGACTTCTTCTAGGCTTAGCATCAAGCTTTCTAGAAGTCTCTGGCAAATTGAGTTTGAAGTATAGCCATTTATGAAAGTGTCAAATATATATTCATCTCTTCTTAACTCAGCTGTAACTGCTTTAACTTTGTATTCTTTACTTAAAATGCATAATGCTAACATATATTTATCATCCGTCTTATCAGATTGTTGTCGCCTGGTTATGAGATGATGTCTTGCAAAAATTTAATTTTTAGGTTGACCATATAAAGAGTTGTTTAAGTTTAGCAGAAGCATGTTTCACAGTCGCATATTAAGTTGTAAATAGCATAAACTATGTAATGGAAAAGTAAAGTTAACTTATCTTCTTCTCATGCTTGTATAATGTTAGAAATATTTGAATGTTCTTTTCCAATGATTCTATTGCAAAGTAGCAGAGTTGGAAGTGTGTTCTACTTTGAATTTATCAGGTTTGAGGTATCGTTCCATATTAGATATTTTTATGAGTACATGCTGTATTTGAGCTTATTTAATTGTAATGAAAGAAACTTCTAATTGCTTAAGGCATTAATAAGTTTAAAACATGAACCTGTTTTCTACATCAAGTATCTCTATCTATATAGTGTTTTTTTACAGCCTTTGCCGTTTTCCACATCCAAATTTCCATGCCTCTTTATTCCATATATCGTTTTCCTCCATTTCTCTTTTTTCCATGTTCAACATTCTTCTCAGTCTTCCCCTGTATTTCCTTTGATTTGGTATCCACTCCCAAACTTTCTGTGGAAGTCTATTCGATTTCAACCTTCTCATATGTCCATACCATTTTAGTTGTTTCATTTACATTGTCTCGTACAAGGTTGTTTGCACTTTCATTTCGTTTCTTATTCCATCATTTCTTATTTTGTCTAACAGAGAGTCTAACTTTTTTGTAAATTGAAGGCTAATTTCCATATTTCAGGTATTTTACCTCCTTTTAAAATGCCATTTCGGTAATTAATTCCAAACCTACAATAGAATAATGCTTAACCAACTGTGTGGATCAGCTCCAGGCACAGATGTGTTATTAGTTTTCATGTTTCTTATCACTTCTTTTACCTCTTCCAAAATCACATCTGGTGTGATCGAATTTATGTGCAGTGGTTCATAATTTATTCCCTGAAATTTAGTTCTATTTTCTGTCAAAAGATTTTCATAGTATTTTTGCAAATTTCATTACTTATTGGGTCTACTAAATACCATTCTTGGGTTGTATTCAATTTCATGGAATGTAACATTTTCCATGCCTGTCTGGATTTAGTGTTACCAATGCACTTGCCTAATCTGTCACATTTTTGTTCCCAGAATACATTTTTTGCCTTCTTCACTTTTATGTTGACCAAATATTTCATTCTGTTATATTCACTTCTGCCTTCTAAATCCTTTGTTGAAAGCTTTCTCAAAAATAACACTTCCATTAAAATCACCTAGAAGCACCACTTCTTTGCGATTTCCAATAGAATCCAGAAGCATAGTCAGTTTCTCTGAAATCATATCTTTTTCTGCAACACTTGCATCGTCTGTTGGAGCATAAATTCCTGTAATAGAAACATCATGTCCTCTTAGTTTACGATTGAGACATGCTATTCTCTTATCAATTGCTTCCCAGCTATGAATATTTTTTTCCAATCTTTTATGTACAGCTATGGACACTCCTGCTCGCTTTTCTTTTCCCACTCTACTAAAAAAGTGAACACAATTTCCTTTTTCTTTCATTTCTATTTCCCTTCTTTTTTGTTTCACTCAACACTATGATATCTATGTTAAACTCCTCTGTTTCGTTAAAAACTTCACCTTAGTGCTTAAACCTTGAACAGACGAGCATCTAAAATTCATAGACCATTTTCCTCGCCTTTGTCGATGTTGTGAGTTAATCTGAGGATCATTTCCATTGAGAGTTTTGAGCGGCTTTTTATATTTTCCGAGTATGGGGGTGCTGGCCTCATGCTTCGACCGCCTGCCAGGAGGACCGGGTAATTTTCTTTCAGGGTTTTCTTCCCTTCGATTTAGTGTCTTCCAAGACTCTGGAGTTGAATCCAACCCTATTTGAAGCACTTCTGCTCCTGAACAGGAAAAAAGGAATGGTAAGGATTTACCTAAGGTTAGGAAACGGAAGCCTCTGAGCTACTCAATCCACCCATTGGCTCCCGGGGTTCAGGAATGGATTTTAGGTAAGAAGATATCTTACAGTTACGGGCAGCGGTCAGCTACTCCTTTCTAAGTAGGAGAAACCAGGCTAATTGCTGCATTCCCCACCCACCATTAAAGGCGTGCATGAAGTAACCAAGTGATATAAATAAACAAAATATCAATGGTATCGTCATCATTACACATACATTCCCCCATAAGATCCCTATCCTCACATTATCGCAGCTTCCCACATGCTCCCCCAAATGTTTTTGTGTTTACTTTTTAATCTAGAAAATGAACTGGAAATTCAAAAACTTTATTTAAGTTATTTTTAATTTTTAAATTTTCTTTTACATTAATGTTACATCTGCATATAGGGCAGGGTATTCCTTGGCAGATGAAATGGGATTTTCTGAATAGTTGACTGTACTGAGTACCCAGTAGAGCACCCCCCTCCCTCCAATGTAATAAAAGGGATTCAAAGATCTTTTGCAAAAAATTGAGAGGGAGGGACACACACACACACACATGCATGTGCATTCCTACTTATGCACATGCATAATGATATTCAAATATCACAGTACAAAGATAAGAAGATGTGAGAATTTTAGAAAGATTGTAAAAGTGAGACAATTGATGGTCTTAAACGTAATTAAGTATTATTTTATATTTTGGGGGTGATCTTGGAATTTAATTTTGATTATTTAACCATAATAACGTGCTTTTTCTTAGCTTACTCAGCTGCGCAAGAAACATCGCATCACTGTGGTTGGAAAAGATGTGCCGGAACCAGTGGAAGCTTTCGAGCAGCTTAAGGATTATGGAATATCACCTGAATTAATCCAACGATTGCACGAGTGCAATTATGCTGTTCCCACTCCCATACAGATGCAAGCCATTCCTCTCATGTTGCAAGTTAGTGCATCTCCTTTGAAAATATGCATAATTACCTTTTGGAAAGGAAAGATACTCTATAATCCGTGTTTTATGAACTAAGTTAGTATCCAGTACCATTCAGAATCGGATAAAATATTAAGGTTAGGTTAATAGAAGTTGGTTACCAACACTTATGTTTAGTGAGAGGACACTGGACCTTTCACTTGAACCTGTCAATCAGAACCAGAAAAGGAATTTGACTTGTTGCAAAGTTGTCACTATCAACAAAGAAATATTATTATTTAATGTTTACATTCTGTCATTTATTTTTTTAATTTTTCTTGTGTTTCAATTTAATTTTGTGTTATTCCTTATGATTGACAATGTCCACAATGACAAGTTCCAAGAGTTCTTGGAAAACATCTTGAAATACCACTATTTCACAGAAAATGGTTGAGTATTATACAGTTATACAGACAAGCTTTTGAGAAAGTGTGCAGGAATATTTTGAGAAAGAGGCACTAATAATTAAGGGACAAATTGTTACATTTAAACAATTCAAACAATGTAAATGCTAAGAAAAAGGAAGTTCTCACAACGGCGATCAATAATTATTAATCTAGAAAGTTTTTGCAGTTCTGTGGTAGTAATATTAGTTCCTCAAACATCTGTGATAGGTATAGCATGGGCAATATATTTCCCCTGTATATGAGTGTAATTGTAATGTAATGTTTATTGAACTTCATTAAATGAGTATTTATTCCAAAACCTGCTTTTAACCATCTTTTCTTATAGAATGTATTTGATGTTGTAGTTTTTAAAAATATTAAGTTTCTTTAAGTGGTGAGTTTGGTTTTGAGAACTCAGGCTTAGTGCTGGAATGCAGCTGGCAAAATCACTCCCCTCCACTTGCAATTGTCAATCGCTAATTTTTTCTTAACTTGATCAATGCATATAGTGATATTCTGAAAGTGCTTGATCGATCGATCAATTGATAACTTCCCACTAACCGGTCCACAGTCAGGTTTTCTGCTGCTTGAGAAAATTCAAATTGCCTTTTTCAACAATTTTCTTAAGTTGCACTGGACTCTGATAATGTTTATTTCATTTAATAACACAATATTTTTCTAGTTTTATTAGTTAACAAAAATACAATAATTTTGGAATTCGTAAGTCATTTACTTCATTTAATAGCAATGGTATTAAATTGTTCACAATACCACATTGAATGGTATAGGAAGAGGAAAAAGACGATCGACCAGTATGCCTAGGTGCGCTGGAAAACTAGGAACAATGTCCAGACGTAACACTACCATTAATAATAAAGTTGTTCACGTGAAGTATTGGATTTTGTCTTATAAAATTTTCTCTGTTTAATTGAGGTAAGGAGGAGGACATTTATTTACTCCTGAACATTGTCTCAGTGAGATATAGGAGTTGCTTTTTATATTTGTTGACATGGGGCCGTGTTTAAATGAAAATTATTCATGTGAGTGGTATCATGGCTAAATATTTGTCTCTCTAGATTACTTCTTTGTGCATTTTCTGCAGCATTATTAATTTTCTTGCACAAATTATTCTGTTCCACTGCAATATATTATCTAATAACTTTCTTCAGGGTCGTCAAATTCTTGCTTGTGCTCCAACTGGTTCCGGAAAGACTGTTGCCTTCCTGCTGCCAATTATTCATCACCTGAAGGGACCTAGGCGGAAGGGGTTTCGAGCTGTAATTGTTAGTCCAACAAGAGAACTTGCTAAGCAAACCTATAGGTATGAAATCTTGAACTTCTTACAAAGTATTTTTGTGTAGTGATTAAGATTAATCCATGAGAAAAAGACTTCATGATTGTCCATTCATTGTTCAGATGTTTTGTGGAGAATAACGTGTACTCATTTGTAATCTTTTTCTTCTTTAGTTGCCTAAAATTTTATAAAACTCCCAAGAAATGGAAGCAGCAAATGATACTGTAACTTTCATTAATTCTAAGGAGAGAGTTGTAGATTTGAAAATGATAGTAAAGCATAAGATCATTTTGTGTCTTTCAATTCCTTCTGGGGTCAGCAGTTTAGTTATTAAATTTGTTTTATATTATCACAAATTAATTGCATTGAATGTACATAGAAAATGAAGTTTGAAGTTCAACAAAGTAACAGTTATTACAATTTACAAGTACAATTGCATTCAATAATAGTCATATTTTCATTTTTGATACTTGTTAATTCTGCTACATTGAATCAGCAGTCTTGGTTTTCTCAATATGATATTTTTATGTGCTCATGATATTGTTACTGGAAGTCCTGTAAATCCTAGTGAAAGCATTCACTCAGTTCTTCAGAACTGAAACAGTTTCTGTTGTACAGGGGTTTTTTGGTAATGGTTTCATTGATCATCTGTCTTCTTGTTATAGAACGGTTCAAAAGTTTTATTTTCTTTGTACTATCTTGCATGAACTTAATGTTTTAAAACAATTTTTGCATGTATTTTATGATAAAATAAATTATATGTAACTGTAACGTTTGTTGAATCAAATCAGTTTGAAGAGAGTACTGTTATTATTATAAAGAAACACCCTTAACAAAAAAAGACACATGGATGTCTTTCCTGTAAAATGTGGAAGAAATCAAAAGAAGTGACGCAGTATCTTGCAAAATTTTAGATGAAGACAGAAAAAAATTACTGATTGTAACTAGTGCACATGGTAGATCAATGAAGGTCATGTAATGAAGTTATTCATGAATTCAATAATATTATCTGATAATAAAATACTATTCGTTTTGAAAAACTTAAGTCACAATAATACTGATGTCCACATAACTGAATTATGTTTACATATAACACTGAGGAACTATCTATTTTGTGAGAGTGATATTTACCAATGATGGGCAGCTGGGGAAACATTCAAAACACATAAAAAGTGTCTTTATTTCTAATTCAGATCTATTACTCTAAGTTATTTCTTCATGGAGAAATTAATTGTTTAAAGTGGGGTGGGGGAAAACTTTGGGGCCCCTGTGCATCTACTGCTCATGCTCTTGTTTTCACCAGGTGCCCCTAACAAAAATTGTCCTGCTGTCAGTAACTGGCTGCTATCTCATTTAGGTTGAGAAAGTCCAGCAAATTGTGATCTTGTTTCCTACTAACACTTCATCCATCTCTTGAGAAATTCTCTCAAGCGTGAGAAACATGGGAGATTTGAGTTGACTGTTTTCGAAATTTCAGAGGTTTTAATGAAAATCAGACTTAAACCATATTTATAAGTATGCTTTGCTCAATTTGAGTATAACATTTTTTGTATCACAAATGCTTGCCATGGGTTCTGCCCGTGAATGTAATGTATTGTGCTTTGCCCTTACAAAGATTTGAAAGAAACGAGAAAAAAATTGTTTCTCTGATGCAGTCAAACTGTAGCATGCAAGTTAAATCACAACTACCAAGTTTAAATTAAAAGGCTGTTATTATTAATGTAAAGAATGTATATTGAATATATTAACGCAATTTTCTTGTTATTAATATAATTAAGCTTGGTTTGGTTTATTATAGAAATCAATTTTCTTATTACATCTCAACATTTGTTTAAACAGTTTGTTCTTATTATATATATATAAAAAAAAGTGTTGTGTTACTAACATCAGAAGTTTTTAGAAGTCCATGAAGATAATTTTCGAAGATTGGAAATCCTCTTTGAGTTTAATTCATATTTCCACACTAATGACGAAATCATTCTGCAGTGTGTAAATGGTTATTTTACTAAAATTCCTGAAAGTTTCCAATGTAATCGGGCAAGAATTATTCTGTGAGGAGCTTCTTAAATATGAGATAGTGCAATGAAACTGAAATATCAGAAGAGAGCATTTAAAGATTTCAAGATGTATACATACTTCTAACCTAGCAAAGTTTTTTAAATGACAGTACGGCCATTAAAGATAGTAGAACACCAAAATTTAACTGTTTTCCAATAGAAAAGTATAGGAGATTATATTTCCTCAAAAACAAAAAAGACAATTTTTTTTAGGAACATGCCAAATTTGCCATAGGTTTTCTTAGCTCATTTAAAGAATTTGTGCTCATAGATCCAGGTATTTACCGGTGTTCCAGAATAAATGTTACAAACTCAGTAGAGTCCTGCACGAGACAATTTCGCTGAATGCCCATGGCAATTCGTACAATATCCACTATATGTCAGGCAAGTGGGACAGGCTTTTCTTCACCATGATCCAGAGAGCAAAAATTGCTCATGGAATTAACTGGATTTCTGATTCCTGGTGAGAGGGAGTCCACCAGTTGTCACTGTGTCAAGTGTAGAACGTTAAGGCAACGGCTTGGTGACGTTGAAATGTCAGATCATGGTATTAATTATCTTAGAACAAGAAAAAAATATAAAATTTATTAAAGTCGGTGTTTTAACATCAATATATTGTGTTCGATGTTTTGGAGTTTTGTGAATGAAAAAGTTCTATAATCACATCCTTTAGATAGCTCTGAGCGCTCAGTTTTATTAATTGTTCTTATTATTTTTTTGTTTCTTTTGTTAGTTAAATATGAATTACGAGTAAATTAATAAACATGACTGCTGTCAAATTAAATTCTCTCCCACATGAACATAAATGATTGAGGTTACTAAATCACTTTTAAAACTATTGTTGGTTTTTGGACTATGTATTTTTAACAACAATTACTTATGGAAATTGTAATTTGAATATTATTTGGTTTTATTTACATGTTATTTAATATGATATTAAATGGACAAATTACCCTACATCGGAAATAAACAAACAAACAAACATTGAATTGAATTAACGCCTTATTTCACGTAGCGAGACTCAGGCCATGAGTCTCTTCCGTCTGACCATGCAAAATTCGCTACGCTCCTTTCACCAACTTGCAGAGAAAGGAGATATTTTTTGGGCAAGAAACATGCGATTTCAATTTAGCTCAGAGGCGTCATTTAGGCTTGAGGATCTTTTACATGGAAGTAAATCTACTAACATGGGACAGCCGGCTTTATTTCCCCTCCGAAGGAAGGCGTACAAAGGGTTTTTTCGCCCTTAAAAATCCATGGCTTCGATCGGGTTTGAACCCGCCAACTTGGGTACAGTAGTCCGGTACGCCAACTGCTACACCATCGGCGTGCGCGTGTGGTTTTAATGTTGACCATCAATGTTTTGTGGTCAAAAGCAAAGCTATAAGGGCTGCTGCTCAGGCCTGTGTATGAGCCCTTCATGAATGAGCACAGGATATTGAACATATGGTGCTCAAATCTGAAATGCTTGTATTGCGAGTAAATGACATGTCAAGCAACTCTCTACTTCTACAGTATTTACAAAGGTTAAACATAAGTTTTTACCAATAAATGAATAAAAGGGGAAATTTCACATAATGGAGTTAAGCAAATGATATTTTTCCCAACAATCTCAGAAACCTCGTATGTATCCCTAAAGGATAGGCAAACTCGTATGTGCAGGTGTTCAGCAAGTAGAACATGAAATCTCATTGACTGCTTCAGAATGTGTGCCTAAGAAGTTGACTAAAATTGTGGGGAAATGTCACAGGTGTGATTCCCTCATATGAAATTTCCCTCTATAAATTCATTAGCAAAGTGATACACTAAAATACACATGTAATATAAACTAGAAGGTTCAATGCAAACATTCCACACTTTGGAAACTGATGTTGTAAAAGTGAAAATAGCTTTATACTGAATTCCAACTTTAGGCCAGATCCTGAAATGCATATTGAAGCATTGTAGGATCATCACAACAATTTAACACTTCAGTTTAATTTTACATAGATTTGCTGTTTCTGCTCATTTCTGACCACCTTACTATGGCACCGGGCATGCCAGAAATGCTTAATCTTCATTTAATTTTTTGCTCCAACTGCCTTGCATGTTCCCTTGCATGGGCTTGGAATATTCTTCACATCTTCCCTGATATATTCTCCTTGCGTGTACTACAGATCTTCCTCACTTGTTCCCTTGCATGTTCACCATGAGTTTTCTTGCATGTTCATCACATGTTCCCGGCATATACCTTCTCATGTTCCCCATGTAATCCCCTACGTGTTTCCTCATGTGTTCTCAATGTTCTCACCAATGTATTCCCAAATCTATTATCAAATTTTCCCCCAAATCTTCCTGCATTTATTAACCTGGAAATTGAATAACTTAATTCTTGAATAACTTAATAAGTGTTTTTTATTAATTATACGGCAGTGTATAATGGCTGCCTCTCCCTTGCTGCATAGAAGAGGAAATTCTAAATAGCTGGAGTGCTCAGAAGAGTACCCCCCCCCCTCCCCCAAGTAAAAATGGGCTCCAAAGATTTTAGGCAATGAACACACAGATATAGTTAGTGCACTCTCCTGTGCAATGGCAGGGCCTGACGAAGTAGCGTGGAGATGGCGCAGTACCCTACATGAGGTCAACATATAAGAGAGGGGCAAACACCTCAGGTGCCCACTTATATAGTCTCACGTAATCAGCAGATGATGCCAGGGATGGCTTACGAGATTGCTATGTCCCTGGGCATGTGTAGAGGCATGTCCTCTTGCAACAATATTTTTGGGTTTTGTGTCTTTGTATAAATCATCTTTCCTTAGAGTTTTATATAAAGAGCATTTTAATATGTGAATTGTGTTCTGATTTGAAAGTTTTTAATTAGTTTTCAGAACTAAGAATATACTACAATCATTTGTAATTATTTTTGATTTGTTTTTGTTATAGGGAATGTCTGAGGCTTGCAGACTGCTATAAATTAAAAGTTCACATAATAAGTAAGGTGGCAACTGCTATCAACAAGTTTGGACCAGATTCATCTCAGAAATTTGGTATATTTTTATTACTTACTTTCAGTTTCAGTTTTGAAACTTTAGTAATGATTGTGATATGATGCTGGAGAAACAAATTCACATCTTCCTTGTTCTTGGGAATATTGTACTTGAATTTTTGAAAAACTCTTCAGTATCCATTTGTATCAAGTCACATTGTATGCAATAATTAATTTTAGAAGTTTAGCGATAAATCTCCCAATACTTTGCATTGAATCAAAACAGGTTTAATTGTATTGTTCCCATCTCTAATTTATTTTATTAATATCTTTCTAACCCACTAGTGTTCATACATTTTTATTTTTCCCCGCAGATATTTTAATAACGACACCTAATAGGTTGGTGTATTTACTTAACCAAGAACCACCTGTCATCTCCCTTTCCAAGTAAGTGTTATTTTAAGCATTTGTGTGTTCTTTTTGTGTCCGCTGTGTTTCTATATCATCTTACTGTTTTTGTTGTTGTTGTTGTTATTATTATTATTATTATTATTATTATTATTATTATTATTATTATTATTATTGAATATTAATTACTGATATTGAGAAAAGATTTTTGTATTATTTTTGTAATTTACAGTGTAGAATGGTTAGTAGTTGATGAATCTGATAAACTTTTTGAAGCTGGTGAACGTGGTTTTCGAGATCAGTTGGCTGTTATCTATCAAGCATGCAATGCAGATAATATTCGAAGAGCTATGTTTTCGGCTACTTACACTCCAGTGGTGGCCAAGTGGGCTCGTAAAAATCTTAAGAAACTTGTTTCTATTACTATTGGTCATCGGTAAGTGTATCGTATTTCTCTAAAAGCAAACATATGTAGTAATAAATCAGTTCATCAAAATGTTTTTGCACTAAATGCTATTTGACAATGGGTGTTACAAAGTTACAAATTAAAATATTTTCTCATTCCTGGTATAATGACAAATTATGTTCTATTAAAAGAATGGTGGAATAAAATCTCAATTTTTTAAAATAATATTTTTTAACATTGTTTAAAAATTTATATCAAGAATTTTTTATTAAATTACACTTTTTAAAAAAAATTGAAGTTAGTGCCACGAATAGAAAACAAACTGAGATCACATTCTTGGGATTTATAAATTTAGTTAAGGGCAAGACACATGCTACAATAATTTTTAGATCCATTCCGTACTGTGGGGTTATATATTTATTACTGTTTTTTCTGAGTGTTTTGGGGGTATTTTGATTATAAATCCCCAAGGATAAATAAGTAGTAAAGGGATTCATCAAACAAGTGTTTTTGACAACAGAATGTGTTTTAGAATGTTTTTTTCTGTAGGGCATCAACTTTGACCAGATTGATTATTTCTGTTTTGGAGAAAATTGTGTAGATGATTCAAAAGCTAGTGTTCTCAGACTAACATTTTGAGGAAAAAAACAAGAGTTTTTCAATTTCAGGAGCCCCCCGAATTTTTTATTTCTGTCAAAAATTCAACATTGATTGCTTCCAACATTATGTACATTTCTCTGCCCTTCATATTGAAGAAAGTAAAGATCTCTGATAATTTTAATTTTTTGAAAATTTGCTGTTTTATTACTACTAGCGTTCTTAAGACTTTCAGCTGAAATAAATTATGTAATTCTTTAATGTTGTTTTTAAGGAAATATGTGTTCTGTTACCTTGCTATGTCATCCTGATGTTGCATGACAAATAGTTACATATGTTATTATGTAAGTTATTTCTTCGTTTGCTGTTGATTTAATGTGGTTATACATCTTTTGTTTGAGATTGTAAGTGTTATCTATACAGATGGTGTAAATAATGGCATCATCTGAACTTTCGTACCAGTTTGCTTGGGCTCAAAAGGTAGCAGTGATTAAGGAAGTGGAGAAAGAGTTTAAAAAGAAATCTGAAATTGCCAAGGAATTTTATTTAATTGAAAAAGTAGACCAAATTAAACTACTTGTATTTTGTGAATTAGTTTTTGGAGGAATACACATGTGGAATACTGGTTTTAATTTGCGTCTTCTTCTGTGATGGAACATTTAAAATTATATAAGTTTTACTGCATTTGTTTTTTATTCCCATTTTCAATGTTTTTCATAGAAATGCTGCTGCTGAGTTGGTTGAGCAAGAATTGCTATTTGTGGGAAGTGAACAAGGGAAACTTGTTGCTTTTCGGAATCTAATAAAGCAGGTAAGGTTGTTAAGATTATTATGTTTTCAAAACAAATAACTTATGGCCAGTTTCCCCCATTACTGAAATTTTTGTATGTATCTTAAGAATTTTAAGGTAGACATAGGAGACGTTTCTGTTTTACCATTACCTTTAAGGCAAACTTAAACAATTAGTTTGTCTTAAATTTAAGCAAGCCTCTCAGCTCCACTTATCCATTTTAAGTCTCTTTTAATTGCAAAAACAATTCAAATGGCAAGTGCTTTGTGGAATGTTGCTTTTGCTAATAATTAGTAACAAAAATAACACTTTCATAATTTGGTACTTAACTATCTTTCCAATTTTATTTAATTCTTGTTATACTTCTTACTTTCTTAATGCATCAGCTTACCTGCATACGAATTATAATTATACACTGAAAACACCTCATACATCTGATACATTCTTTTTACCTCATTTATTCCTTACATCAGTAATCATGTGCCATCATTCACCCTCCCCCTCTTCTTGTAGAATCTTTCTCATTCTCTGTGTATCTTTATATCTTTTCTCTTGATTACATACTCGTATCATGTGTTCCAAGGTCTCCTTTTCATAATTTAGACGGTAGCTAGAACAAGGGTCCTTTTGCCAAAACTGTTTTGAGAAAAGAGCATTTGAAGATTTTGATCATAGCGTTAAACATTCTGGTCTATTTAATTGCTTATTTGATGTATTTTAAAGATAGAATAATTATTTTTTTAGTACATTTCATTATGAACATGTTAAACTCCTTCTTCATTTAAAATATATGTTCTAATCAAGAAAAAATTAATTATAGCACCTACTTTTGAAGAACCCTTAATTAATATTATTCAAATGGTCTAAAACAAAAATATTATTGTATTTTTGTTACTTTTTTATTATCAATTGCATACTTAATATATAAGGCGATTTATGAACTGTTCTTAACATTACAGCACTTCTGAGCTGTAATATTCCGCTTAACTTTCTTTATCTTTCTATCCACACCTCTTCAGTACATTCAGTTGTACTTTGTGATTAAGTTATTCTCCATCTACTCGAAGTGACTGATATAATATATTCTGACATGATGTATATTTAATGAAATATTAGAGTTATTTGTTATGGGTTCAGCAACAAACAAAATATATCCAAAAATATCCACTAAATGCAAGCTAAACAAACATTTCTTACAATGCTCATTGTTGCTGTCAATTTCTCTTTTAACTTAAAGAATGAAAATATAATAATGGAAATTTGAATGGATACAGGTAAAAGGAAGCAGAATTAGATCATGCTATATCAGAAAAGGGTCCTATAGTGCTTCAATTCCATCTTCTACCTACTGTCTCAATTACATGTTCTGCCTTCTTTCTATTATTCTTATATGTTTCTGGCTTCTTTCTATTATTGAAACACATTTTCATAAGCATTCACTTTAAACTTTTTTGTTAGAAGTTGAAATCTTGGCACTCTTATGATCTTTCAATTATAAAAAAATAGAAGCACTCTACCGTAAAGTAATCTCCTCCTTGGTATGATATAACTCCCCTTGTGAAACAGAATCAAAACAAACAAGATTGGTAATGATCACTAGCTATTCTACATGGATTCAGCATTGCCAACCATCTGACAGATACGTTTAAGTTATACTTCAATAAGCACTGCAGTGCTTCAAAGAAGTTGGTGAAACAGAAAACAACTAAACACGGCATAGAAGACCTCTAAAAATTTGATGTACTGATAGATACTCATAGATTTAAGTTGTACTTCAAAAAGTTTTAGCGAAACTGATACTTAATATTTCCAGTACTAAATTTCATTCTCATAAATATGTAATTATAATATACATACAATAAAAATGTAATGTTATACAAGATACCGTAACAGAATAAGAACATAATTTATTGTAACAGTTTAATATTGTTGAAAAATTTCAGAAAAAGTTTTTAGGGTTTAAAATTACAGCCATTTTGCAATTGTTTATAATACATTCAATGTATCACAATTTCATTCTACATCTCTATTATCTGTCCTTCACAAGATCTAATTTTTTTGCCTTAGTTCCATTGATACTACTATCGGCCACTTTGTCCTCACCTCATTCCCTTCCATTTACCTCAGACTGGGAGAGGTAGCTCAGGCATCAACTGATGTCACTTCATTGACTCTGTCCAGAAGATCTTAGGTTCGAGTCCTGATAGTGTCAGTATTTTCAATACTTGCTAGGTAGCTAGATCGAGTTCTGTTGCTGTCTGAAGGAAAATTTTAGCGGCTGGGTGCTCTGATATGTAGTTTTCAGTGGTTTCTCCTATCAATACCAGGTGAATGCCAGAGTAATACTCTAACAAACAGGCCACGGACCACTTGAGATCTTTCATTGTCCTACCCTCATTCCTTACTTACACTAGCGTGCACTACACTACCACGCTGGGACACCATTCGGGAGTTTAGAGCTTGTCCCAGACTGCCAGCTGGAGGGAGATAACTATTTGGGGAAAACGCAGCTAGCAGATGGTAGGTTGGCGATTGATTTCACCATCTGCGGTGGAAGATCACCACCATCTCCCAACGGAAAAACATCTACTACACTTGCAAGACTAATGACCTTAGCATTTGATGTGCCCGGAAGCATTGATCAATCAATTTTACCTGTTTCAATACTCAAAGAATGTGTAATAAACTAGAGCCCAAAAGTTTGGTGAATGGCCCTATTTTAACATTATTATTATTATTATTATTATTATTATTATTATTATTATTATTATTATTATTATTATCATTATTATTATTATGTTGCTAAAATGGTAGTAAATTAAATCATGGATGTAGAAAAACAAACATACAGTCTGACAACCAACAGTGTGTGCGTAACTTTATTGTCAATAAAAGAAACAATATAGGCATAAATAAAATTGTTTAATCATAGTGTATTTTCTGTGAAATAATGCATGTATATATTATGTGTACCAAAATAATAATTTTGAGATAAGCCAAGATGAATTGATTGGGAACCAGATGATAATTCTCTGACTGATCTAAACAAATAAATGTAATAATTACAAATATTTATTATTATTATTATTATTATTATTATTATTATTATTATTATTATTATTATTATTATTATTTTAATAATATGAATCACTAGACTGTCCTTCTGGACTGTTTTGAAACTTTTTTATATTCCTTTCTTGCTTTAGTATTTTTAGCTTTTGATGCCCATTTTTAATATTCTGCCTTTTTCTTCCTTTTCTGGCATCATTGCCTTTTTTTCTCCTGGCACCAGACTCGATGAAGCTGGAAATGTATTTGCAAGAGTAGGCACGATATCGGGCAACAGTTGTGGATGCCAAAGCCAGAAATACAGTTATTATACAGAGTTAAAATCATGGTCTATTTCCTTACTGAAAAAAATATTTACATCACTCACTAAACTGAAACTGAAAGTTCTTGGGAGTTAGATATCTTTGTTGATTGTTACAAGATGTTATTGTATTTTATTCAAATTAGAAAGCAATGCTGCCGAAGTGCAATATGCCTAATAATAATCAATTAGCCAAATTTTTGCCACACTTTATTTGATTAAATTAGTCACACGTGTATAGAAATTTTGCAAGTAAATCAAATATTATTAAATAATTGGCTGCACAAACCTTAAAACTTTCAATTTTATTGAAGAAAAGAACAAAATATATTAACATTATTGATAAAAAAATTTGGTTTTAACGTCCCACGAAGAATTGCAGGTGTTCTTGAATTATAACCAGCATTATCATTCTTTTACCAGAACATCTCTTAATGCAGTCCCTGAACCTTGGTTTAAGGATAATACGAATTTCAGTGATATAATAAAACTTAAAAAATAAAAGAGAAATCATCAGGCAGATGAATCATCAAACATAAGATTTTAACAATGATATAGTGTGCATAATAATTCTAAAAAAAATTCATTATGAATGAACTTTTAATTATATGAACTAAAGACATTACCTTTGTTTGATATCTTTCACAATAGTATTGACCTTCTGTTAAACACTGAAGTTTCTTAAAACATGCAGTTTACAAAAACTTGGAATCCTGATCTCTCAATGACTCACTTCTTCCGACTATTACTACTTTCACTTTTCTCACTTTTCCTGACAAAACTCACTATACTCACTTTATTTTTTATTGTAATCTTCCGAGTACAATATTTCTTCAATAACTAACGTAGGTACTCTGAAAAAAAAAACAGAACATACATTTGGGAAATCCAGTGAGGAAACTATTTACATTTCAAAAGAAAGACAATACAAGCGAACAAACTGACAAGTATGGAGAGTGGAAGGGAAGTAAAAAGAGGCATGAGCACTATCTGCCCAAGAAGCCTTTTTTACAAAGACTCTGGCAGGGAAAGATACAGAAACTGTAGTCTGTCCTTCCTGATTACCAGTACTCCAATACTCCATGATGATGGTCATGATGTCTACCAATGCCTCAAGCTCATCTTTGGGGAGTGGGTTCTCTTCAAATTTCAATGCAACACTAATTCCAGTTCAGAGAGTATCAGAAAAAAAATCATCTTGGAGTTCTTACTTTTTTCCAAAAAAAATATCAGGATAATTGTAAATGAATACATATCAGGGGGCTAGCTGACAACCCTGCAATCTCAAGTTTTTATGATTTTCCTGCAGACACCAAAACTCATTTCACCAGTTTCCCTTAGAGTTTGACAATTTATTATTGATTTCCATGATTGTTTGGATGAATATATTCATGTTACTTTTTCAGTATTTCAGTAGACCTTGATGAGATTGTGTAGTTGACATTTAAAATTTGTATTTTCCTTTCTATTAATTATTTCCTTGGACAATTTTAAGTTCTAAAACTATGGTTTCGATGACGTGAACAGTAAACATCGCAAGTTTTTAACTACGAAACTACTTCGACATTCCCTAATTAATTTGTTCATCAGTTTCAGAAAATATTATGGGATTTACTATTCTATACTTAGTGTGTTGGCAAATATTTGAAATTCATTGAAGAATGTTGGCTTTGATACTGGCTTAGTTTTCTTATAAAAAAACGTCAAGCTTTCTGCAAATTTTAAGAAACAAAGGATGTTACATTGTAGATTCCCATGCCAAGTTTGCCTTGGTTCCTATAACTGCAGTTTCAGAGCAAATGGACATTGTTTAAAACTATGTATGACTATAGAAACTTCATGTATTAAAATTTAATTACATCGTAATTTTTTAATACATTTTTATAATTTTGAAAAACTTTTGTTTTCATTCTTTGGGATTCATGTTGAGAAATGTTACAACCAGCATTATGATATAAAATGATAAAAACTGTTTTCTTTGCCAATAAAGTTGCATGGTCAAAATCTGGGACAAAGGCACTTAAACTTCTTAACCTGTTGAGTCTCCACTGGGTGTTTCAGTGTATTAGCTGAGGTGCCTCAGGGCATCAACTTGTCAGTAGTGCACCGATTGTTAATTAATAACTGTGCACTGGTCGGCAGTCCTGATGGTGAATTTTTGACACTACCTTCCAAGCTAGGTCGAATTCAGCTGCTGTCTGGACAAGAATTCTAGCAACCAGTTGTGATTTCCATGATCTACAGCAGGCAAATGATGGAACATTCATTACTCCACAAACTGTCCACATACTGCACGCACTTTCCTTCCTTTTCCTCTCCTTACCTCTTACTTACATACACTACCCTTCCATGCATTGGGAGCTTCCAACTTGTTCCAGCTAGAGTAGTGCCCTGCTTGTGGGAGATACCTCGTTGGAGAAAACCCTACAAGACGACGGGTAGGTCAGAATCAGATCTCGCCATTCACTGGAGGAAGATCACCACCACCACCCCCTGTGATAAAGAAATGAACCACACTTATGGGAATAATGACTTTGTCACTTGACACACTTGGAATTGCTAATAAATCAGTCAAAGTCTGTAAAGTACCAAGATATTCTTGGCTCAGTGGGTCAAATTTACAAAAATTCACTCTATTGATGTCAACATTACTATTCCCTTTCAGAAATATTTTAAGTATACTTGATTTAATTTTTATTGTTCTTTGTTTTTCTCCCTATTTTATTTTGTAAATGTATTCTATAACTAATTATTCAATTTTTCCCCCCGTATCTGTAGGGTCTTACTCCACCTGTGTTAGTCTTTGTTCAAACCAAAGAAAGAGCAAAAGAACTTTTTAAAGAACTCATCTACGATGGAATCAATGTTGATATAATTCATGCTGATAGAACTCAAATGCAGGTATGACTTCATTATTATAAATAACATTCAGTAACAAAGTTATTTGATTAGGTATTTTAAGTAAGTTAGTTTAGGATTGGTGTGATTGTAAATCATTGCATTTAAATATACTGTTTTAAATAAATGTAAAAAATTTTGATAAACTTCATATTAAAATTTGTTGAGTAAGAAATCTTGGATGATGAAAAAAGGACCATTGACAGACTAAATACAGATATTGCGTAGTTCCTTTACATGATTTCTAAAATTTCATATTTTTCAACATAAAATAATTCCATTACCAAACTTTTATGTCTGTAGCTGTCTTTCCATTAATGAAAAATGATATATTGATCTTTTCTTAGATTGTAAATATCCTAGAAAATTAAGTTTTAAAGGAAGGTGGCCAGTTGGAACATAATGGATTTTACCAGTGCAGAAGTTAAAGTTTTCCTCCATAATTCAAAAACAAATAAGTTTTTTGACCTGAAACTTGCATGTTCTACATGGAAATAAACAGGGGTTTTGTAAAAATTGGTTAACAAAAACTGCATTTTCTAATGCTAGTTATATACCTCTTTAAACTCTCTTGTGTTGCAAGGGAAATTTTGATTTATAATAACTAGTTTTTTATTGGAACTTTTTATTGTTAATTAATATTTTGTTTATGAATAATTTTATTAGTACAATTTTTGTGTCTTAACGTTTGGATGAAATTGTTTCTCCTTTGGTAATGATTGTAATTGTTCTTGGAAATTCTCTGTTTAGAGAGATAATGTGGTTCGCAGCTTTCGAGAAGGATTTATATGGGTGCTCATTTGCACCGAACTGATGGGCCGTGGTATTGACTTCAAAGGTGTAAACTTGGTTATCAACTATGACTTCCCACCAACTGCTATCTCTTATGTACATCGCATAGGTAATTTATTTAAGTTATTATTAATATTATTACATGAACATCCAACAAGGCCATTCAGTGGAGAGAAATGTAATTTCTGTTTACAAACATTTTCCAGCTTTTTATAATCTTTGCTTTTATCTAAAATTCATAATTTCAGCTCAATAGTAATACTTCAATTTTTACTGTTTTCTTACAAAATCATGGTTTCTTTCTTAATTATTACAGATGTTCAGAAATATTCTTCAATAAAAATAATAGTGACTTATGTGGCAAGACTCAGGCCATCAGGCCTGCTCTTCCACCCAACCATTGCAATTACTGCATTCATTGCATTAACTTCCCTTCCCTTGTATGTTTCAGTTGCATGGTTTTGGTAACTAAAACAAGATCTTTCCCTTCTAATGAGTTTATATGATTTTTTTTACAAATTAATTGAATATCCACCATGGAATCTGTCTTGTGTGCAAAAATCTTAAAATAAGTTTTTGAATTTTGTACATTCAATTTAGAAGCATCATCAGCAGCAGCAGCAAAGAAATTATGATTGTGCAATCATTCTTGTATAACATTCAGGGGCAGAAGAATATAGCGTAGGGTGAAATTCTTTTTTCATCAAATTACCTTCACTACCGGTGCTTCATTAGAAACCAATTACATGATTTGTGAATAACATGGGAAATTGACATTACATGATGTACAATTTTTAATTTTAATCTACAAATATTTATATGGAACTTGGCTTAGTTTGTTAATTAACATCTTTTATTCTTGTACTTCCTTACTACCATTTTTTTCTTAATAGGACGAACTGGACGTGCTGGAAGGCCTGGTAAAGCTATCACATTCTTTACTGAAGATGACAAGGTCTGCCTACGCAGGTTGGTTTGAACTTGAATTGAAGGCTTGAACCAAATTTACTTTTACACTTAGAGAGACATGCCTGAACTACATGGTTATTTTTCATTTCAGTATTGTCCATGTCATGAGAGATTCTGGTTGTGATGTTCCTGAATATCTTATCAAACTCAAGAAATCCAATAAAAGAGCTCGTAAACAGTTTGCAGAACGTGCTCCAAAGAGAGATCCGATTTTCAAACAACCAAATTTTATAAAATCAGACCAATTTGAAACAAGGTAAATATGCATTGATGTTCACAAAATAAGATTTAAGTAATAATCAAATACTACCAGTTTACATGGAGTGTCTTGCTATATTTCATTATGCATTTTATTTATATATCCAGGCATCGATCCACGGGAGGGAAATTTCTCTCCTTAAAGTTTCTCAGTAACGATTAATTTTAAATTGGCATGAAACTTTCAAGCAAAAACATTTTAGGATAATCATTCAAAAGAATAAAATTGTATTGCAGCATGAGCTAGTGCCTAAGACATTTTACAAATCTGTAATGTGACACCTTTGACCAAAACATCTTCAATTTCCTCTCTAGATCTGCCTGATTCATTTTGTGGTATACAATGTTTGTACAATATGCAATATATTACGATTAGCATGGAAGTTATCAAGTAATTGCTTCTCCATTGTAATAATAAATAAATAAGATTTTGTACTATAATTGTATACTGAACCATACTATATTTCTTCAATAGGTTATATTATTTGTTGTGTTATGTACTTAAAATGGGTACTACATAATTAATTAGTAGTTTAGCTTTTATAAGTGGACAAGATATATTTTGTCATATGCATTTTATAATCTGTAAATTAATGTGATTTGGACCTTTTTCATTATTATTATTGTTATTATTATTAATGATTTTTTTGCAGGAAAAGACATAGGAAGAACTGGAACAAAGTAGAAGTTAGTAATGGTACTGGAGAACCAGTGAAGAAGAAAACCAAACAATCTTGTAGTAAAGATGTATGATTTGTAATAAATCTTTGATAATAAAAAAAAATATATGGTTTCTTTGGTATTTCCAATTTCTTGCCACCATTTATCAAAACTGTATAAGAACCAAATTCCATAATGTCGAAAATGTCATTAAAACTACATTGGTCGCATGTGCGATCTCCTGAGGGGTAGATGACAAATAGTTTACGAAATGACTTATATTGAAACATTTGGAAGCGCGATGACCATAAACGGCTCTTGGTGGCGAGCTATGTGGTCATGATATTTACCCCCATTGGCTGAATATAGACTGCCCTTTCCTCTTTTTGTTCGCGAACTCGGCTTTAAATTTCAATAGAATGGTCGTATTGTGGCATATGACCAATCAAATTCATACGCTATAGAAAGGTATCCGTGACGACTTTCAAGGACAAAATCAAAAACAAAAATGACTAACAATGGAACAAACATTATTTTTCAATTGGAAATGCATAGGCTAGTGCAACAACAGCCTTGATTTCTGACTTTCCTCGTGTTTTTAGGTTACGTCATCTGGCACATGTATCCTTCCGCTTTGGTATTGATGATTTCATGTAGATTGTTCATTTCATGGCCAACATTGCCTATAACTTCTTAGTTGATAAAACTCGCCACTTGAGGGTGTCGTGTAGTACTAGTGTTGCCAACTAGTGGAGAGAATCAATGTTGATGTATCGAATAAACAGAACATTCTATTTGTAAATATTTCTTTCTATAAACAGTGTGGTATAATATAAAATTATATTAATGCAAACAGGAAAATATATAACGTTACTCTCAAAAATTCGAAAATTCATGTATTGTTATTTAGTTGCATGCCTGCCACTACGGATATCACACTAGGTAAACACGAATCTATTCTTGTTGGTATCAATGGTGCCATCCTCGAGATAGACTTGTGGCTGAAAGTTAAAATTTATTCAAGTGATATATTTAATATATACATTACTGTGCGGTTGGTGGCAAGCATCAGTACGAGAAGAGACACGTTACTTTACAAACAACCTTGCTGGTTGGATATCTTCTCTCTTTTTCCGCGGGTAATAATAAAATTTGCCAAAATTCCGGTCCCTACCAAGATCCGAGAAGGCGCCTACCCCGGCAGGAACGAGGAGGGCAAGATGAACACCAACAAACGGAAAGCTCGTACCAATGCTGCAAGGTAAGAAATCTACAGAATTTTTATTTTGTGTACATGACTGTATTATTGATACTCTCATGTGTCACTGCCGCTTCCGTAAGAAAACATCGTTAGGGACACTGACCTCCATTGGCAATGTACAGTTGTCCAGAGTGAACAGCCCACTTGCTGTTATGAGATTTGTAAATTTATGGTCGAGCTATGTTCATATTCAATTTGTAGTTAGGTGTATTAGAAAGAAAGGGAAAATGCATGTTCATAATTGTCATATTTATGTCTTCAATCTTAGGTCTCCTCGCAACAGAGGGGCAGAGAGGAATGTAGCTGCAGATGGAGTGTACCAAAATCCGCATTTTATGCATGCAATAACTAGTCATGTTGGAAATACAGTTCAGGTAAACCATAATTCTTCCATTGAATTTGTAACTTCCTCCTCTATATCTATATTACTATCTGTTGATCTTCATTCTTGAACTGAATTTCTCTTTAAAAGGTCATTTCTATCAGTCGTTTCTTCAAATATCTTGCAAGTTTGTAATTGTTGTTTTGTATTAAATGCATTTTCGTCTGGTGTTACATTCCAAAATTGCTTTACATGTGTGTAGTTAGTTAATAATTACAAATATTTTTTTATAATTAGCATTTTGTATCAACAGGTTTTGACTCTCAATGGATCAATTTTTGAAGGTGTGTTTCGAACATTTTCAAGTCAATTTGATGTAGTACTAGAAATGGCTCACAAAGTTGAACCAAACAATCCTGGAAAAATTAACGTTGATACTGTTGTTGAGAAATTGATTTTTAAACCTGAGGACATAATCACCATTGAAGTAAGAGATGTTGATCTCGAGTATGCAACTAGAGGTAAGTGACATAATACCTAATACTGAAATAGTGTATTGTAAAGAATGTGTTCAAAATTTGAAAGGTTGTAATTAGAATGTGTGAAAAACTATATTAAAGAAGATACTAAGGTCAGATGTAGAAGGTTTTGAGTAATTTTTAATTTACTAAGTAGATCTTAAAGAAGAAAGCGTAAGTGGTATATCAATGTGAAATATTATCTTACAGAATGTCATTTGTTTAGATACTTTTCAGACTGACACAGCAATCAGTAAATTCAATGGACAGGTTGGAGAACGAGAATTGGAGCCATGGGATGGACCTGGTTGTAATGGGGATGATCTTGAACTGGAAGCAAGTGCTGTATGTTTGTTATAATGAATAATAATAGAAAGCATGGAAAACCTTGTAGTGTTCTTTTCTGATTGCGTGTTTTACTTTTTAACTTTTTAGAATGGATGGGATGCCAATGAAATGTTTAGAAAAAATGAACAAGTGTATGGCATTCATTCATGTTTTGAGCCTTCAATGGTGACCTACACTACCCCTTTGCAGAAAAAGGATACAAAGGAATACAAGTAAGTATGATTTAAACATTTCTTTTGTCAGTTTTATGATAAGCATAATTTGTTAATAAGGGAGGTATCATGTATCATTCTTGCAGAAAGTTTTGACTATGTATTTATTAACAAACTGTTGTAATTGAAGGTATTTAGAATTCAATGTTACTAATAGTATAGTTGAACATGTGTACAAATGTGCACTTCAGTTAAGTGCTAATCAACTGCTAGTGTGCATGAATTGAAACCTAATGCTGGAGAATAATGATGACTAAAACTTATCATTTTTGACAAGTGGAGAAAGAATGCAATTTCCATTTACTACTTTACTTGTTACTTTAAATCAAAGGAATTATCTGTACATTTTGCAGAGAATAGTTTTAGTATCAATAGTTACTACATAGTGAATGGTAATAATTCTACAAAATTTTTGCTGGATGTGTGTTGGTCTTGGTGGTCCAATGAAACAAATAATGAATGGTGTGTATGAGTTAAAATAAGAAAGGTAATATTGAAAAATGACCAATAACCAAACTTGAATTATTAATATATGTATATGTGAAGAAGAAATGTGCTCGCTGTTCATGCTTTAATAAAATATTCCATGAAAATATTAGTCCCATTGAAATTCATTGGTCTCTTCCTTTAGATTTGACAATACTAATTATTTGTGTGTTCAGCCAAATTTTCATGCACAAGCTCTAAAGAACTGGATATACCTTAAATTTTTATTAATGTTGTGTATTTGAGTACTAACATGTGACCCCTTGTGGTAACATAGTTGGTAAAATCTATTTTCTAAGTATTATACCACTTCTTAATTACCTCTTCTATGATTCCTTTAGTCTTCTTGCTTGCGAACATTGCTGAGCATTCTTGTGTAAAGCTTTGATAGTGGAAATACCATTCTTTCCAACGTTAATCTCATACTTAGTTTCAGTTTGTACCCTCAGTTAAGCTTTCCTTTAAGTTGACCATTCCTCTTGAAAGTGCAATATATTTCTTGTAAGGTATGTATTTTGGACATAAAAATAATAAAAAGTTAATCTAAGCAATTTTCATTCAGGAAATTGCACAATTCTGATTCATATTTTGGCAAATTCCCTTTACAACTAAGCTGACTCGCTTTGCACTCCTGGTCCCAAGACAAAGGTGTGGGTCAGGCCTTTAGCTTCCACTATTTACATAACAACCTGTCTGGCCAACCTAAAAGTTATCTATACGTTTCACATTTTTATCCCAAAAATGACATGCAGGTATGTTTCCACCATCTTCATCCTTCCTGCAGCACCGGCAAACACTTAACCTAAACTGAAGTAAACTTTAGACTTACTGCAGTTATTGAGTTTTAATTTAGTTTTTTTAAGAAATGGTTATTCTTATTGAAAATTGTATATCAGAATTTAGTATTAGTTGTGGAACAATCTGTAAGTGGTTGTTGGGGAAACAAGAGGCTGGTGGCAATAGATCCATGGGGCCCCTCTCTTAGTACCTCTTCTAGGTAGGTAGTGTACAGGAAGTGTTGTAATGTTGCAAGCTAAAATTGAACGTGTAGTCAGTTTTGTGAGCAGTTTTTCAGTATTAGAAATGCTTTTTCAATATGTTGTGGAACTTCTGTTGCTGATTGTTGATCATCTGTCTGATCAGCACTAACTCTTCATCCATGTATATGATTTCCTCTGAAACTGATAGATTTGGCTGGCTGTTGATATGCCCCAAACAATTAGGTTGTGGCTCCTCAAATTGGGAATTTTAATTTGTCATGGCCCCTCAAATTAAATTTTGGGATTGTTCCAACATCAGTTTTAAATATTTCTCATTGTTCCAATTTCCTTGCTTAAAAAGAGCAAGAATATAGATAAATATGGTGCAGGTCCAATTTCCATTAACTCCGTCTTTGTTTTCAAAATTTACATAGTGTGTGTGTGTGTGTGTTTTGTCTCCTGAACTTTTCATCACCTATATGTCTTAAAGTAGGTAGGTTTTTAGAAACGTGTTCTTCAAAATTAGATATTTAAATAATGTCATGTACAGTTCTTAAAAAATACCAGCAGTCAGCATGCAATTTTTAGTACTTTGAAACCCCCTTTTTGGGGAGGGGGGGGGACTTCGATAGAACAACTCTTAATAATGTCATTGCAGTGATTATTATTAAAACATTTGTAATTGCAAAAGTGCAATTTCTCGATAAAACCAGACCCAGACCTTCAATACTGAAACAAGATTTTTTATGCAATGTAATGTATCCCATAAAATGAGAACTTTAAATCATTTCATGTACAAGTTTGTAAATTATTAGTACCAGTAATACAATCAAACTTAATCAAATATCCTCCAAGATTAAGAGGTCTCTTCCATTAATGTCCATTCTAATTTCTATGGAACTGATTAATTTTTCTTTTAGACACATGTAAGTATTCCCTTTCTTTAGCATCCATCTGCATGTGCAGTTGAGCCTATAGACCATTTCTAGCAGTCCAGAAGGGGGAGATGTCCCAACACAGTAATGTACAGAGGAAATTTGGGAAGGGCGACAGGGTGGAATGACTCTGAAATCTGAGAAGAAGGGAGGTTACAGAAGCTGGGATGGGTGGGTTAATTGCACACACACTCACACACACACACACACACAAATCACACACAGGTACAGATAATTATCAATTACTAATTTTATTGACCATTACACTAGCAGTAATAGCTGTAACACTATTGTTCTTCACCTCACCATAGTGGTCTTGCACCTTTGCACACTTGAGTCACTGACAAATCTTACGAGATGCTTGTGCCCAAAAATGAGAATTTGACAGACAGTTGCAAACCTTTCTGTCAGGAGTGGTAGAGCAGGAATCTTTGAACGAATTGCTTATCATATAATATAAAAGCTTTTGGAGAAATAACATTTTGTTTACCTGTTCATTTAAAATAACCCATGAATGAATTTGAAAATCAACAGAAGAAATATTAGCAGAGTTGTACAATCTTGCTTCAAGCCAGAAACTGCCACTGTTGAGGTGTAGCATTGTAAATTCTGAAACATTGAAACCAGCTTTATGTTACAGGAAATGTAGGCATTCTGATTTAATAACAATAATGCCTTACTCTTGGAACTTGATAGTTCCTTTAAAATTGGTTGTTTGTCAACTTAAATAGGGATGTCTAAATTTAAAAACCTGTCAGGCTTTTGATGTGGGTGTGTGTTTTGATGTATTTGAAATTGGTTGCTCCTCCAGTAATGTTAAATAATCCTTTTTACACGGTGAAAGAGAAAATTTACATATGTAGAAAAAAAGTTTAAAGCTAGTTTGAAGGTGACTTTTCAAGGGATGTTTTACATACCAAGCAGATATGAATGCAGTCTAATCTGGATAAGTTGAAAACTTGTATTAGTGAGACAAAGAATGGATATTTGTATTAGAAAAAAAAAACTGTTAGTGGAAATGTTTAAAATAATTTTTTTCCACCAGAATTTTCATGGTGTTCGCTGGCAGATGTACTGTTCTTAGGTTTCTGCTAAAGACAGCGTTTCCCAAAGTTTTTGGATTTTTCTAGATGTTTTTCAGTTCTTGAGAGTAAATGATGAAGAGCTTGGCAATAATCTGATTTTTCTCTTTCATTAATTAAATAATTATTGTTATGGAAGTTAATGAATCAATATTCCAATTTTGATTTCTGGATCATCTAGGATTGAATTACTAAAACAGGTATTTTGACTATCACTCATGGCTCAACCTACCCCTCTCTGTCCTATCTAATATTTTATCGTGCCATGAACTGAAGAAAGCTCACATAAAATTAATACTTTTATGTAGCTAGAATGCAAGAAAAGTACCCTTTAAAACTTTTGTTTATAAGAAATATATTCATAATTCTTGGATTAAAATTTAGTTTATTGTGAACCTCTAACTGTATGAACTGAATTGACCCTTTGAGCCATTATCAGCTGGTGTTTTGGTTGTTAGCTGGCAGAATTCAATTTGCTGAGGAAGGCTGTCTTCAGTTATATTAAACTGTTTTAGAACCAGTTAAAATTAGTTGCCAGAATATACCTCAAATCTTTCTTTGAGAGTCCTTCCTCTGAATGTTATTTTCTCCAGAAAATTAATTTCAATTTTGCTCTACATGATATTTACTGGTGACATATACAGAGGAGTTCCTTGAAGAAGGAACCGCTTTGTCAGGTTGAGAAAGAATTGAAAGTCATGCAGGGCGATGTCATTGCAAGCGATAAGAATGAAGACACTTCAAATGAATCAACTGTAAACAACATTGACAAAATGAGTGCAGGGATGTAATTTGTAGTGATATGGCCAGCGGTGACTAAGCAGTCACTGTCAAAGAGGTCCCTTTTCTAAAGTAATATTTCTATATTTCTCCTTACCGGTTTCTTAACTGCTACTTCAGTCTTCCAGCACCTTAACTTCTTCTCCAGTTTTCTGTTCTTTCAGGAATCAGGAGGTAACAGGTTATCTAAACAAGATCGACCCACCCTAAAACCACGTTTTCGTTGTTCGTTTGTTCTTTGTACTCCTTGTTTCTCTCTTTTATTAATTCTCTGCTTTTGTCACGGCTACCTTTGTATAATTTTGACACAGGCCTTTCCTTCCTTTCTTATATATTGGTATTATAGAAGTCATTTTCCATTCTTCTGGTATATCGTCTTTATTTATATACCTATTCATTAGCGTCATCATCATCGTCACTAATTTTGGTGTTTCATTCTTTATTAATTCGCTTGGGATTTCTCCTGGACCCGGAGCCATACTACCTTTCATTTCTTTGATATATCTCTTAACCCTCTCTTTGGTTACTGTAATTTCTTTGACTAGAGATATGTTCCCTTTCTGAAGTTCCAAGAAAATCTGATCTTTCATTTAATAGTCTTCCCATATGCTTACAGACATACTTTGCGAACTTTCTCCATTTGGGAAAATCTTACCTCTTCTATGAACACTCTAAATATATTTTAAACCCAAATCATGACATATTTTGCCAATTTTTTGTGTTTCTGAATATTGAAATGAATTTGAAATAAAATAAACACAGCATAAGCACAGCAGATATGTTGATAGACCTTCAAATTGCTTCGGCCACGAAAGAAATTATATTCAATTATGCCACCTATTCTTGAAATTAAAATTAAATCTTATATTGTCTTGGTGAAAAATTACTTCTACCCATTTAAGATTATTTATCAAGTTTCTAGATTGTTTTTATATGCTGCTTTTTTTCTTTTAAAAATGTTGGGAAGGGTTCAGTTTAATATATATGTATAGGCGTTGCTTATTTTGCATCCACATCCAGCATCATTTGTGCATTAATGGAATTATTGCTTCAGTTTGCCCAAGTTGATAGTAACATAGTGATCTTTCCTTTCTTTGTGATCCGTTGCTTGCTGAATGGTAAACATTTTTAATCTTTGCCATAGAGGATGTAATGAAAGAGATCCCTATTATAATAAGATAGCCGATTGGGAGCAACAGTCCCTTAAACATCCTTGTTCTATTGAATCCACTGACACATAGTTGTAACCTATGTCGGTATGTTATTTCTTGACTTCATAAACTTTGTGATAACATAGATGGCTTAATTTCCTTTGAGCAGAATAATTTTACCAAACCATTTTTAATCCATTTCTGGACATGACTAAAAAATGTGTTTACGTCTGAAAATGTGTATAACATTTATGCAAAATGTTGTGTTTCATCCTTTTGTAGAAAAATAAAATGTTACATTTTTGTAAAATGTTGTTTCATCCTTTAATAGCAAAATAAAACATTCTTCTGGAAATATGTGAACTTTGATTCTCACAAAATAACCCAGCATACTTGATTCAGTTTTTAAAATAAATATTCACCGTTTATCAGTTTGAGAGATACATCTCAAAGCTGTACAGGCAATTAAATAGATGAAAATCAAACTGTCATACCCAAAACAACTGAATTAAAAATAAGAAAATATGAAGAATCTAGCAGGAACTTAAAAAAGAAGAAAAATTAGCTGCTATTTGACTACTGAGTGAATGAGGATATTCTGGCAGATAAATAAAAAGTATCTTGAATAAAACTGATTTGAAGAATTAGTCTTCTCCAAAGTCTAGAAATCTTTGTGGATTGTATGAAGAGAATTACAAAATGTATCCTTTCATCGCAGAAACATTGTTGGAACAGTAGCTTTCTGACATGGGTGAAGAAAAGTTAGTGCATCACTGCAGTTGCAAGTAGCAGTCTCTTCACTTCTAAGATGACCTTTCACCTCCTTAGCGTCGTGCCACTCAGGAAAACCCTTTGACGTTCTAGGTACAGAACATCTAGTTCACGACACAAATCACATACTATATTATTATTGATAGTATGGTCATGGCTCCTCTTTAAACAGACATTTAAAAAATGTGTTAATGGATCCTTTTTGGAGTGGCATTTTCATATTACAGCTATATACCTGGGTCATCAGATCATTTATCATGTCTTCTAGCTTTTTGAGAGTAACTATAAATATACATATTTAGTTCAGGGGTAACTATGAACACACAGGTTTGTTGTATCATTAATTGTCTTAGTTTGGTATATCGTAAGTTATATATGGTACTTAGATATTGAACCTTGTCTTAAATGTAATTGTTCTACAGTATTTTTCTCTTTTTCTGGTTTTTAATCATTTACAATAACGGCATATAATTGGCATGGCGTTGTCCAAAGAGTACTGCATTGAGGAACTCTGTTCTGCTCCTGAATATACAGTACAAAGGATTCAAATATTAAAAATGAAAGTACAGTACAGAAAATCAAAGTATCGAGGAATAGAAACTATTTCTTATTTACAATTTTTTTTTAATCATTTGAGATGCACCATTGCTTACATCACTAGAGTCTTTAGAAGGCCATTTCAAACAATTAACAAGAATATTGTTTAATACTTTACCTTTAATACTCATAATTTTTTTTAAGTTTGTGAAACGACTAGAAAAGTTCCCTTATATGTAGGTCTATGTTTTAGACCTATGAAAAGTACAAACATTCAATTTTTGTTGTGTCAAATAGTGGGTTAATAGGATAATTGATTCATTTTTTTAAAATTATTAATCCCTTAGACGAGAATGATGAAAAATCAGGTAAGCAAAAATGAGAACCAGATACAATTTTAAAAATAGTTCCTTGTAAGTCCGTTTCATTAATAATGCTCAATCCCATTAAAGTTAATGACAGTGCAATTTTCTGATTGTCCTTATTGCATTTAAAAGCATTTCATAAACTTAAATGAAGTCATTCCACTAATCCATTTATAGTTATTGGAAATGAGTGATGAGTTGATATTGGATAGCATATTGTTCAAATATCAATCAGAAATTACAAAATATTGGATTTCATATTTGACAATTCATGGTTTCAAAGTATGAATGATATATTTGACTTATTACTGCTATTGGAACAACATTAGGTATGCTAATCATTTCACGGTGCACTTTTTGGTAGACCGAGTGAGTTCAGGATTAGGGGAAGGGTGGAGTGAGTTTGAAAAATTTGCAAAATTCAGCAACACCAGGTAGATTTCCCGAAATTGATTTCTATTGACCATTATTTAGGAAATAATATAAAATTGTATATTGTATCATGGTACTGATTTTTATTATTCAATAATAGGGATGCAGAGGCCAAAGCAGCAAAAATTGCCAGTGAAATAGAATCCAACCCAGTGTATTTGCAACGGCTGCAGCTAGAAAATGGTGATGAAGAAGAGCGGTTTGCTGCTGTTGCTCGGCCTGCTGGTGGTTCCAGCCCTGTAGAAGGGCATGGGGAAGGTGGCAAGTATGTGCCTCCTCCTAAACGAAAAAATTCCCAAGTGAGTAAAGTAGTTTCATTAATTCTTTGTTGTTGTTGTTTTTTTCACTGGTAGTGTTGAAAGATTCATTTTCCACTTTCTTTTCATAGTAGAAGTCTGTTTTTGACTTCTATTATTTATTTCTTCTTCCACCATGAATACTACCTAATCATTTAATCCCTTTTTTAGCAGAAATGTTTTCTTGTCTTTTTGCTAAAAAAAAAATCATTAGATAGTTGTATTTAACATTTGTTGCAAGTGTCATGAATGGTATTGAAGGACTTATCTGGTGTTACATTGGCTAGATACCAAAGCAATTATTACCGTGAATACTTGCTGGGATTTCATAATGGAGCATTTTTATATAGATTTCTTACCAAGAAAATGCAGGACATGACTATTGTCATGAACCATGGTCATTTGAGAGGCCTTTTAATTTTTCCCAGTGTGGCCCATCACAAGGAAAAAGCAATGGTACCTAGTCTACTTATTGACTGAAGAAGTAGAACAGTGAAATTGTTAAAATTGTTTCCAAATAATTATTCAAATTTTGAATTGTAGATGGTAGAATAAGAAGTCATTTCCCTTTTCTTAGTGTTCATATTCAATTTTTTTTTTTAAATTTTGAGAGACACTTATTCATACATTTTATTTCGTAAAAAGATTAGTTTAACATTAATATACTCAAGTCTCATTTCTCAAACTGCTTTAGTTCTCCTTCGTTTGGTGCAGATGTCTAGCAGGTGTGTATGAAAGGCTTTTTTCTGTCAACTTGCTACTTCAGTACTGGGGTATTTGAGGTTATTGAATTTCAAACAAATGTATTTATAGAATCTCATTGCTCAAAATCTGAAGAGGATGATCTGGTGCATGCAAAGGTAATGCACTAACAGAAAGGAGTCGAACTAACCATTAAAGTAACAATGATATTTAGTTTAAATGTGAGAAAAGCGATTTAAAAAAATTTTGAATGTGCATTACTAAGTAGAAAATTGAATTTGAGGAAACTAATTGCTTGCTTTAAGGAATGTATTCACCAGTTTATCAGTTATTTTGACCAAAAATTGACATAAAAGGAACTCTTCGATTAATATGAAAATTAAACTTCTTGTTTTCCTTTATAAAGACTTGTCGAGAAACATGATAACTTGTCAATGTTCAAATTTTTTTTATATAGCTTTGCTTGCAGTTGTCTTAAACGTTTTATTAAAAATCTTTTAAAAAATCATAATATTTTTATACTAATTAAGTCATAAATAGAACCCAGAAGTTCAGGCGTCTATTTGGCCAAAAATAAGTAGGCAAAAAGGAATTGATTTTTACCAAAATTGGCCTGCAAAAAGGTCTTTATTCTCGCTAAGGTAGGAGTGCAAAAAGGCATGGAATCAATGAAAAATCACCCTGTGTCAGTGAAAACGGAATTATAGTTTTCGTTCTTCACACTTGTGTTATCTGCAGCACAGAAGGGCATGTCATGTACATATACAGAGTTTTGATCTTAAGAGATTGACGGCTGTACTGAAAATTGGATTGGAAATTTGGGATTCTTCGTGAGTGAACTAGGCCAAATGTCTTCAATGTAAAAATTCAAAAATCTTGACTCATATCATCTTCCTTTCTCATTTACATTTTTAACATTACCTAACTCTGGAGATTCTGCTTCCACAGTAACACAACAAAACACAATCGAGCCTTTATGCTGTGCAAGCTTGCAGGTATGTTTCTTGTTTGATCGAGATCAGTGCCGGTAGAAAACAAGAAAAATAATCACAAAACATGAAAAGGTAAAATACCAAAAATATGCATCATAAGCTAAAATAGACAAAATATATTAGAAGAACTCCAGAAATTAACTGATTCCTTTGGTTAGTAGTCATCAAATCATAATAAAATAAATAATAATAATAATAATATAATAATAATAATAATAATAATAATAATAATAATAATAATAATAATAATAATAATAATATAAAAGAAAAAAGAATTTAAAAAGGCATTTTGCCAAACATGCACGTTCTAGTCATAAGTATTAGAAATAATTATTGAAATAAATCATAATACTGATGTTGTATGTTTGGTGTGAAAACGTAATTCAGGAAAACAAATATTGCAAAAGTATGCAGAAGGATATTAATGTTGATAAATGTATTTTTGCAGAAGCTATATTTGATAAAAATGAAATATCTGTTAATGAAATAAGGCAGGGCAAATTGAATAACTAAAGTTTATGCAGGTGAGGCAGTATGTCCAATTTGTTAAACACTAATATGCATTTGTACAGAATTTCAAATTCCTAGTGGTTGTTCCTTCCCTAAAAGGAATTGATGTGCTGAACATTCACGGTAAATAAGTAACTTCCATATCATCCAAAAGATTGACAGTTTAGGTGATTCTTAACATCTAGCTTAAGTAGGTATTTGTTCACCAATGGTGGAAAATACCTATGGTTGATTTATCTGAGGGATTAGTCAAATAATTTGCACATGGCACTTGTGCATTCACAACAATACCTGTTGTTTTGAGTTAATTTTCAGTATTTATGCTAAAATCTCTCTATATTTTTAGTTTCTTTGAGTTTCTGTCTCGAAATAAATAATTGAACATTTTATTAACTACATAACTTCCATGAATTGTGTAACACTGCAGCCAAAGAATGAGCACAAAAAGTCTGAATTGCAGAAGTTGATAAAATGATATACATAAATTAATATAAAAATGTCCTAAACATTATTTGATTGATCACCAGTCCCGGATTTAAAAACGAGGTTAGAAAAATGTTTCTCAAATCATCAGTTGGTGTGTTACTCAGAGTAGCAATGTTTCTATAGTTATTACTTTTTTCTGAGTAATATATTATATTATGTATAAATGCAATTATGTGTACCTGATTCATAATGTCAAATAATCCAATTTTTACAGCCATCCTTCTTGTTTGGTTGTGAGTAAATATGAAACTAACTGTTGAGATTATTTTGTAGAGTCCGTGCTTGTTGTGTTGTAGTTATGGCCTTTAAACAAGGATTGAACTGTGGCACTGATAACAGAGAAATATTTGTCAATGATGAGAATGTTTCATTACTTTATCAGTTTGCTTAACACGAGGATTTTGTAGAAGGGATAAACTTTTCAAGACAACAACTCACTTCAGTGCCTTTTCTTTTCAGTGGTGATAGAACTTTTTGCTCTTTCATGTAATCCACAATATGTGATTCAGTTTGAATTCTGAAATAAATTCAAAATCTGGTATATCTTAAATTAATGTTGTTTGGTAAAGAAAACAATTGAAGTAGATTAAGGAAAGTGATTAAAATATGTTTAATTTGTTTAGGTTTTATTTTGTGGTGAAGTGATTAACATCAAGAAAGTTATATCAATTTACTTCTTTTCATGTTTTTCTATTTCCTTAGTCAAATTGATTAGAATTTCTTTCACATACTTACTGGAAAATCCTCTTTGTTACAGACTATAATGTTGTGGAGCCACAAAGATATGGTACAGTTTTCTTTTAAGGCCCTTGAAGTAGTTGACAATATATTTTTAATTTCTGTGGTGAATTTTTTTATAACTGTGATTGTGCATGTGATAATCTTGTTTTAAAATATTTCACAATAATCACAGTTTTATATATCATGCTTGTTATGTTTTTACTTCACAGACTTAGCTTATTACTTTAATTTGGTTGCAGAAGTACTAATTTGATACCACTAAATCAAGATCAACACCTTCTAAATGTTAATTTCAGATCAAAAAGAAATAAAACTATGCTCAATTAGTAACATTCAGGAAATTATTACTCTTCAGAAGACTCAATAAAATTAATATTTTATAACCTGTGGCCATTTATTATCATATCTATACAGTTCATTTTCATAGTTTATGTTGTAAGGAAGAAAAAAAACTTGCAAGTGGCTTTGTACCCAACATGTTTAATGATTTTGAGAGTGCATGTGTTTGCATGATATTTCTCTGTTCGGAGCAGGAAAGAGAAACGCATCACAGTTATGATAGTTTTCAATATTAGTATTCATAAATAACAAAAGATACGGCTTTATTTGCCAACAAAATATATATACATTACACTTTTGCATGGATTACATATGCTTGTCTTATAAAAGACTAAATGATTATTGAGTAATTGAAAAGGAAATGGATAAGATGTCATGAATACACAAAAGATTGGATCTGATTATCACTTGTGAATTTGAAAGACGTGAAACATTCTAAGTTTGGATTTGAGGGAATGAACAATATTGTATTATGGAGTTTTTGTTTATTCTTCACCTCACTTTGATTAGACAGTAAAACTTTTTGAGGAACCAAGAAGAAACATGGAGAAAAGAGAGTTACTGGTCAAGGTGAATGAAATAAATAGAAAATATATTATCATGATTATTTTATTCACGATGTTGAAAATGGTGACTTCTCTCAATGGAAGGATGAAAAATTGCGTAAACTTCATTGCTTTTATAAACTTATTCTTGTGTGCGTGACTAGTCATCTTAAAAAATTAAGGATTTCAAATAGCTGGAAAATGGCCTTTACTTTCACACCTTTCATTAAGCTTGTCTGTGACATTCTAAAAGGAATTCTGTAAAATAAATTGTATTTTTTGTAATTGCCTTCACTTTTGAACATATACATATTTAAAATGTCAGCAATTACAGTTCTTTGTATTGTTGCAAATAACATAAAATAATATAGGGAAATGGGAGAGAATATACATATATCTTAGTCATCATAAAGCTTCTTTGAATCACTTTCAAAGCTAAGCTCTGGTTCCAATTTAAACAATCAGACTTTTTGTCCTTTTCTTAATGAACTGTTATAGGCTGACTAGTCACTTTAATACAGTTCTTCCTAGTGACTGGCTATGCAAAGTATGTGAATTTACATGATATTCATTACGTGTTATTCCTGTGTAACTATGTCAAATGGTATAGCTTATCAACAATATATTTATATTTACACCTACCATACTTTGTATTTTTTTCATTTTCTCTGTCCCTTTATTGACATTTAAAAATGATTTGAATGAATTTCAGTTTTCATTTGCATATACTATACCATATTTCTTTTGTTGCATTAATTGTGTTTTGTAACTTTTCAGGCTGGCAAGTTGGTGCGATCTACTCCACCACCACAGCCTCAGCCAGTACATCCAACGACACCTGTGCCTGTGCAACCTTCCCAGCAACCTCCCCAGCAGATGCCATCAGCGCAACCAGTTTCACAGCCACCTCAGTCACTGCCACCTTCTGGCCCCAAAGGCTACGCAGCTGGAACTGGGGGTGCAAGTTACCATCACCCTCCACCATTTTCTCCTATATCCTCCACTGCTCAGCAACTGCCACAGTCTGCACCGGTGCCTCAACCTATGCCGCCACAATCCATAGTGCCAGTGCCAGTGTCTGTGCCTGTACCTAGTGGACAAGGTGCCATTGCATTGCCTGTGAACCAACCTCCTCCACCTATGCAACATGTGGCAGCTTCCCCAGTTGCTCCCATTTATCCAAATCATCCTGCACCTCTGCCTCCCAGAGAGCCAAAGGTCAATGGCATGGAGGCCAAACCACAGCGACCACAGCAGCTTAGGCCCAGTAAGTGTTGAAACTAATAGAATTTTACAGCCAGCAAATGGAATTGCGAATATTAAATGAGAATTGTAAGTTTTGTGTTGTTTCAATTTTCTTTAACTATGACTTTCTGAAAAATAATCATTTATAAATAGTTTATCTCCACAATAACAATGGAATGGTTTAGTATGTGTTAATTTCATCCATCCTTCTTGACAGTGTCTTACAAATTCCATTCTGATATGTGGAGAATACAAAGAGAGGCGGGTAAATATGGACTCAGAATAAATTGCAAAATAAATTAAGGAAAATTTTAAGTATTTAAAAAGTAATGTTTAAATATATTTAATATTATACAATCATTTTCTGCCTGTTTGTTTTAAAAAACTCCTGTTTATATGACATAGGCATAAATATTTTTAAAATTTTACGTACTTGTCATTTTAACAGGAATTCAAATGGACACATTACTTCACCCCCTATTTTGTTGTTGTTTAAAACTTGTTCATGGTAGTAATATTCCCCATGTTACTATGAATGCTCAATTATTCTGTTCAACTAATACCAAAATAGGCTTTTGAAGTGTATATGGACAAGCGTGACTCTAAGAGGACTCTGACGTTTTCATGAAGCGATTATTCATTGTGGTAGTTTCAAATTGTTTTGTAAGCATCTAATAAGAATTGGTAGAAGAAACTTATCACTTAGTGTTAAGAAAGGTTCTAATATAAAAAATTCTAAATGATGAAAAAGTAACTAATAAACATAGATAAAGGGGGAGGAACCATGCTGGAGTCCATTATGGATACTCATCCCGCCCTACTGGTGTTAATGTATTTTTAAAAAAAACATTAACAGTAATTATTATTCTTTTATTTAATGTACATTAGGTTCTGATTTGCAATTAATTTCAATTTGTCCTACACAGGTGCAAGATCTTATCCATCTGGTGATGGTAGTATAAGTGGCCGTTACGCAACCCAGCCAGAGCCTGGCAAACACATCCACCATGGTCCCCCTTCTGGTATGCCACCAGCACCTTTCCCTACTACATCTGCACCTGTTGTATCCCCACAGGTTGGTAAAAATAAGTTTATTTTCAGTAATTGTTAAGTGGTGAGGCTAAAGACTTTCTAATAGTATGCTAGACCCACACATAGCGCTAGAGTAGCTTTGCAAATTGAATAGTTTTCTTGGTAACCATGTGTACACAGAGCCGAATTTGTGCCGTATATCATTCTTATTTGTGTCTTTTGCTGAAGAGGAAGATTCTATAAGAAAAAAAGTAAAATGGTGAAGGTGAAATGAAATGGGGTCCAAATCATGCGACAAAAGGCTGCATGGTGTAATTTGACAGGTGCATCATTTATCTATGTGATGTTGCTTATTGAATGTGCTGATTACGTTTAGTAATTAATATGATAATCATGAATAAAAATAAGATCAAAAATTTGTAATTACTCTTAAAGAAACAATAGTTTAACTCTGGAAATAACCACTTTCTTTTGGTGATTACTTGTCATTTCTCTAGAGTAGATAAAGAAATATCTATATTCCCTAAATTCCAACTTAAATACAGGAATATCAAGATTTGTCTAGAGTCTGATGGGAATGTCAAGAACATATATTTTAATACCGATTCACATGATTATTTACTCCAGGTTAAGGGATGGCAAGACCCTGACCTTGCTATGAAAATCCTGAGGATCTCCAGGGGTCGTATGCGACCTGAAGGGATAATCATGATCATTACTCCAGTTATCTGCGTGAAATGGAGAAAACTTTCTTAAGTATTGAAAGTGTTTAAAAATAATTTACACAAAGTTTAGTAAATAATACTAAAATTTAGCTTAATATGATTTACCCTTTCACTGAAAAAAGATGCACAATTAGTAAAGATGTAACATTTTTATTTGAGGGTGAATTAAAGGACTACACTTTAAAATAATTGCTAAAGTTTCCAAAATAATATCCCTATATCTTCTACAATATGATGTTTTGTGAGGAAAAATATCCCCAACCTATCAAAAGTACATATTTACTTGAAAATCTTCAGCGAGTTTAATATAATATAAACTAATCACGGACTGGACTACCTCTTGGCGTTCATACAAATCCGTTTTTAAAGTAAACGCTTTTATGCTTTTTTGCTTTCAAACATGCAGTTACAAGTGCCAAAAACTAGGTAAGCGACATGCTTTAAACAACAATGGTATTTGTGCTTTATAAAGCTCTATGGCATATATGTATGATCAAAATGCATGATATGTCGGAGATGCATAAAAGTTTTGACATGTTAATGTTAGTTTTAAATAAATTACTTTAAACAATGAGTTTGTATTTCAATATGTCTTCCATTCTACATATTCAGAGTTTTGGAAATGTGGGAAAATTTGAAAAACTTCAACATGTTTGAATTAGGTGCATAAATTTGTCCCCAACATGGCTGCCAGCGCAAGCATTAATTTGCCACTGGGAAGAAACTCCATTACCATAGGATTGTGGGGCCTTGGGTGAGATCAGTTTTAGTCTTGAATTTATGTATTTGTATTAAGTAGAGGATTAATTGCGCTACAGGAGTTGGAACAGCTACCAAGCATTTGGTGAACTGTTGCCAAAAGCACAAGTGCTTAATGTCTACTGAAACAAAAACTTTGGAAACTGATAGGTGAGATAAAAACAAATATTATCTTGCCCAGCAACCTTCCAAACAGCAATAGGACTTACTATTCCCAGACTATATCCAGAACCTTTGCCAACATCCTACAAAATAGATTCTCCTCTCAGGGCACCCAATTACTGTACGACTAATCCTGCATTTCCTGGAAACGCCCAACTTTCACTACACACTTCAAAACCCATGGATTATAACAGACTATGAAATCAAGGACCAGCTTCATACACTGGATGAGGCAAAAGGCACTAGTCTCGATGGAGTGAAAACTGCATTAAGTAGACTAATGAAAAACGGCATACAACACCTGACTCGCATCAGGATCAAGACAAAAATAACACCGTCCCCAATTCAAACTGGAATATACAACATTGCAAAGACTCATAACAAAAGCACTTAAACCCCCAAAATTTACCTCTTTCCTTGCTCCTGACACCCATATCCTCAACAACCCACCCATCTATAAAAAACAGCACCACCCATTCGATATACTCCAGCTCCCAACACCTCAGACTTAATAACATCACCCACCTACAAACCTACAACCACTTATAAATACTGCAAACTTACTTGAAAGTTACTTTTAATACTGACCACACTGACACAATAGAAATAAAACTGACTTGAAATACTGACCAGACTAAGACAAAAGGACAAAAACTGACTTGAAATACTGACCAGACTAAGACAAAAAGGACAAAAACTGACTTGAAATACTGACCAGACTAAGACCAGAGACTCTCCCTCTGTCCCTCTCTCTCTCTCCCTCTGTCCCTCTCTCTCTCCTCCCTGCTGTCCCTCTCTCTCTCGCCTCTGTCCACTCTCTCGCTCACCTCTGTCCTCCTCTCCTCTCCCTCTCTGTCCCTCTCTCTCTCCCTCTGTCCCTCTCTCTCTCCCTCTCTTTGTCCTCTGCCCTCTCTCTCCCCTCTGTCCCTCTCTCTCTCCCCTCTTGTCCTCTGCTCTCTCCGTCCCTCTGGTCCTCCCTCTCTGCCTCTGTCCCCTCTCTCCCTCTGTCCCTCTCTCTCCCTCTGTCGCCTCTCTCTCCTCTGTCCCCCTCTCTCCTCTGTCCCCCTCTCTCCCTCTGTCCCCCTCTCTCTCTGTCCCCCTCTCCTCCTCTTGTCCCCCTCTCTCCCTCTGTCCCCTCTCTCCCTGTCCCTCTCCCTCCTCTCTCTCCCTCTGTTCCTCTCTCTCTCCCTCTGTTCCTCTCGTCTCTCCCCTCTGTCCTCTCTCCTCTCCTCCCTCTGATCCGCTCTCTCCTCTCCCTCTGGTCTCCTCTCTCCCTCTGTCCTCCTCTCTCCCCCTCTGTCCTCTCTCTCCCCTCTGTCCCTCTCTCTCTCCCTGCTGTCCCTCTCTCTCTCTGTCCCCTCTCCTCGTCCCTCTCTCCCTCTGTCCTTCTCCCCCTCTGTCCCTCTCTCCCCTTTGTCCCTCTCTGCGCTCTGTCCTCTGCCCCCCTCTCCTGTCCTTCTCCCCCTCTGTCCCTCTCCTCCCTCTGTCCCTACTCCCCCTCTGTCCCTCTATCCTCCCTCCCTCTGTCTCTCTCGCTCTGTCCCTCTCCCCCTCTGTCCCTCTCCCCCCTCTGTCCTCTCCCCTCTGTCCCTCTCCCCCCTTGTCCCTCTCCCTCTGCCCTCTTCCCCCTCTCCTCTCCGCCTCTTGTCCCTCTCGCCCCCTCTGTCCCTCTCCTCCTCTGTCCCTCCTCTCGCACCCTCTGTCCCCCCTCTCTCCCCTCTGTCCCTCTCTCTCCCTCTGTCCCTCTTCTCTCTCCCTCTGTCCCTCTCTCTCCCTCTGTCCCTCCCGCCGTCCCTCTCGTTTTCCCTTGCCACCAACTCCCTTTGTCCTCGACCTTTCCCTGAGTCACATGGCAACACCCAGTAACAATGATGCCCAGGTAAATTGGGTCAGCATATAGTATTCTTTGAAAAATATGTAAATGTGCCAACTTTCATGGATGTTGGTCAAACGATGTCGGTGTTCATTGATCTGGTACATACCAACTTCGATTGTTTTTTAGACAGCTTTAACAATGATATTAACCAGTTTTGTGCAAAATTGAATGAAATTGTCTTCCATTGCTATGTAGCAGCTTCATGCCTATTTGATGTCTTCTCAGGTGAACCCAGTCATACAAAATGTTCCACAATGTCTTCTGTCTCCTTATGTCACGTGTTATCACATACTTCACTGTTGTTATTTTAATGTTATCATCTGGGGAATATTACTGAATAGCAATAATTTATGATACTGTCTAATTCTCAATACGTCCATGAAATGATGTCTGAATAAAAAATTCTGTATAAATTATACTTCCCTTATTCACCACAGGTGAGTGTCTCATTGCACTACATCCTAACATTCATTAATAAATCATTCAACCCTTCTAATAATTATGAGCGTCTTCCAAATCTAAATATTATCTTATAAATCACTTACATTGCCTATTATTTGAATGTTGAATTTATATATTGTTGTTAATCCAATATTTAATATTATTGTCACATCTTGTGAAAAAAAATACTATTCCCCTCATAACTATTCCCCACTATACCTCATCGCGCCAAAATCTGGTAACACATTCCCCATCTAATGCAAAGACTAGAGCTCACCAAAACACGACTGCCAGCGGCATATATGCGAGGTTCTCGATCCTCCAGCCATGACTATGTCCCTTTATGTACCTTATTTGTTTTTTCTACAAGGAGCTTTGCCCATACCTCTATGCCGACTATGGTATCCAAACTATATACATTTACATTCTCTGCAAGTATTATTTATTTATATCTACTACTGTTGCAACATGTCCATTTTGTCTATATCACTATTCTGTGTATGTGAATAAACTTTAATAAACGTGACATTGAATTTATAGTAGTAGTTTATAATAGTGTGTGTGTGGGGCATCTTTTTGCTTATCACACGGAAAACTCATTACAAAGCATAGAAAATTACATATGAAAACTAATTTATTGAAAGCTAATATATCAACATAAACTTGACAGTTAAATTCATATTTTAATTTTTAAATAATTAGGCGTTAATAATACGACCTGGTGGCAGCGGCTATTGTTGTCTGTTGCCAAGGCAGCATTTGTAAAACAACCAACAAATGACAATTCGTTTCGCATATACATTTCACTACTAAATTCCTTGCAACACTGGCAACCGAAAGCTAGTGATTAAAAAAATATATAATAGTAGTTATTAAATGCAATAATATTCAAATCTGCTTTCTTAAACATAGATTATATGTTACTCTCTTTGTCTTTATGTGCAATACTAAATGCTCCATTAGTTTTCCCACTTTCTCTAAAATTTACTCTAAAATCACACAAACTGCTCCGTTTTCAAATATTTATGTAATATTATAACATTGTTATTTCTCTCCATGTTAGTATGTCTCAGTTGTCACTTGTAAAACTCAGTACAAATAGTAAAACATTCAATTTGAAAAAACATTGTTTGAAAGGTTCATTCATACATCTGTAACACCTTCCAACAATAGTAAGGAATTCCCAGAATCTCATACTGCCATGTCTTGTTGCAAGCATGCCATTGGCGATTTGAATCTGATATATTCAGGAAGTCTAGCAAATAGAGGACGAGAAATTTGATTTTAAAATTTTGCAAAATGATATCAAACCACTCATATTTTTAAAAAAAATTATGTAATTTTTTTTAAAGAATGTATTTTTTTGATCAGTATTTATCTAACCCACAAACTCTTATAATCAATATACTACTTTTGCAATGTTAATTTATTGTTTACAAGTTTTAAAAATACAGTGTGTTTGACCAGCACCACTTTAAGATTTTTGAAAGTAAACGTACAATGAATTCTCATCACAATTGGCATGCTAGGTCAGCAATCTCCATAATGGTGTCTGGGTCTTTTGATTTCTTATAACCTGTGGAGACTGTTAAACACATTTTCTTAAATTTATTTCTTATTTTGGATTTTGTATAATATATAAGGTGAGTTTATATCTTTTTGTGTTGGTTACCCTCTTATATGTTTTATATAGAATGCATAGTATTTAAACAATGTGTTTTTAGCCTGATGGTGGGTTACGTTGAGCCTTGCAATGTTGCTTTGTTGAAATATTAATAAATGCATTTATTAACTGCAATAGTTTATTCAAGAAACTGCCCATCTCATGAATGGCCAAAATATTTTAATTCAAGTTTGTTTGTTTCTTACATTTGAGCTTTTGTTATATGTTTACAAATTAATCTTACAGAAATGATATAAAACCTATTTGATAATCCATATTTTTTTTGTCCATGTTGCGAGGAATGTTTTTGCATTCTCAGGGTATTGTTTTTTCTATCAAGCAATCCATGAACCTTAATTGAAATTAACCCAATTAGGTTTTCTCTTTTAAAAATGCAATTTCAATGAAAGAAAAATTGCCAGTCTTCAGGAAATATCAGATTGGAATGTTACAATGGCACTCCATCCTGCGAGACAGTTTGTAGTTTTGTGAATACCATCTCATTGTTGGGACATGATTTAGCTGTATAAAATGCACATGTAATTGTTGAATTTGTGTTATTTGCTTGAAAATATTTAGATTATGCACCTATGTTCTAAGATTTGTAATGAGTTTTACAAAAAACAATGTCTGAGATGTGTGTTGATTCACAGAGAAAATGTATGTATAGTATTATGTAACCATTACTAAGGGCGAGAAAGTATGAGGTGTTTTAGAACCACCAGTTTCTTTTGCTTTACTGTATAGAGGATATCAGGTTTTAAATTGTTCTAAAAAGAAATGATACAATTATATAGTACACTGTAGTCTGTAAATCTTTCTTCATAATACAATTTGTTCTCAAAAATTTTTTTTTTGTTTTGTACAATTTTTAGAAAAAATTAATTATTTTTGAGTGTAAATTGGGTAATTTTAAAAACAAGATTTTCACTAAAATAGCTCCAAATTTTATTACTAAACTTTGTATACAGATTGTGCTAAGCACATAGAATAACATGACATAAACACTATTTTGCTGACACTTTTTGATTAAAAATTATTCAAATGTGTTTAAGTCTTTTTAATATATCTCATGTCATTAATATTTTACCTTATGGGCATTTTTTTACACATGATTGCATTTGTGATATGTATTTGTTTTTTATACATTATTGCATAGATACATTCAGTTTGTCATCATCCTGCAACCATTCTCAGGGCAAAATGCATGTTTATGTAGATTGAGGTTTCTGCCAGTTGGTGGGATTGCACAATCATCCAACATAAGACTCAATAGAATATGGTGTCTCCTGGACAATTTAGCCATCTTTAAACTCCTACCTTGCAGGCCTATCTCAAAATTGTGTATTTTCAGAAACACTTAAAAAGCATGTTAAAAAACAGCCCAAAACTTTCCAATGAAAATTTGCCTATAGATGCAGGTTTTACTCTTCCATAATATTCTTGAAGTCATATTTCCATTCTACTATTAGGGGGAGAGAAAAATTTTAAAATGTCAACAAACATTTGTGTTCTTAAGTAGAGACTCCATTTCTTCGATATAAATATTACATGAAAGCAAACTAAAACATTGTGGTAACTGTTATGTTTTGAATCTCTTGTATATTACATCTGTCTCTAAATCTTTTCATCGTGTCTTGGCCTGACATGCAGCTTGTGTGTTAATGCGGGATTCAATACCCAGAACAATGGAACAAGTAAATAGGAATACCATGGCTAAAATATGTAAAGATACAGAACCAAGATAGAACTGTGGGATGTTTGGTGTGTGTGAAAGTGCTATTCAACACACTCAGTGGAGTGGTAGTCTTTTAGATTAGTAGTTAGCCAAAGATAATAGGAAACTAACGGATTCAGTCTTTGCTATTCTGAAGCATACTGCTTTCCATTATTAAAAATTTTTCTATGTAAAACTAGTCCCAGATAATGATGGCCAGTCTTTCAGATGCCTGAATTACCTGTGTTAAGTCTTGTTCCATTCTTAAATACGTTTATATTTACATCTGGATATTCATTGCTATATTACATAATATAGAGTAGCGATGTTCTGTGCAGGTGATGGGGCCACCATCTGTGCCAGCGCCAATGGGGTCAGTACCCACATCAACCCTTCCGCAAGCTGTGGAAATGTCTACTGCTAAAGTGACAGGCGAGCAGTCGCCAGTAGCTACTCCTCCTCAGACAGCCATCCCTATGCAACCTGGAACTGCCCCCCTGCCTCAGCGGAAGGTGCCTCCTAGCCGCTGTAAGTACTGGCTTGTGAAGAGGCTGATCACTTTCTCTTCTCATTTGTTTCTTTTTTCAGAATTATTTCCAATTAAACTAGGTGCCCAATACATACTTGCATTAAAACAACAAATGATTGCTAAAATGGTACATTTTACAACTTTGATGGAAATTTTTTAATGATATTTGCATTTTATGGTTTATTGCAAACTGAAGTATTATTTTCATTGCCTCCCTCATCACCAGTGATGAGACATATGTGGATTACTGTTTGTCTAGATTATGGAAATTACACTTTGCTGTGGTACTTAAGAACGTATGCAACACTGAGTTTGTAGATAAGTGCTTGCTTTGCCCTTGTTATGCAATTGGAAATTATTTCATTCCTCAAATACCATATTTATTTCTTTAATTTTTTTTATATTTTTAATACATTTGGTTAAATCGTAAATTTGCTGGAAGCAGAGATTCACAAGTGATAGATCTTCATAAAACCGTAAAGAGGAATAAGGACAATTGTGATCAGGGAAAATGACTTCAAACATTTTCTTTCTTTGTTGTACTTGCATATGGCGATAAAATTGTATGTGTTAATTTCTTGCTATTTCTGTTGTTAATACTTCTATCATCAGGGACGTTATAAAAGTTCTTTAAACATGCATTCAGTTTCATAATAATCTCTACCACTGATCATGCATTGGTTATCTGAAAATTATTGCAGCAGTCGAGCCCAGCATCAGTTTTGTAAAGAAAAGTTTGTAGTTACTTCAGATAATGAGGCTTTATATCAATGTAGGAAATGTCTAAATCTGTTAGTTAGACACAGTACGGGGGTTGTCTTTTATATTTTAGGATTAAAGAACAAAAATAAATATTAATTATCGAAAATCACTTTATTGTTTTTCAAAATATTCCCCATGAAGATCTATACTTTTGCATGCGTTTGAACCAATTGTCGAAGCACTTTTGCTACTCTGACTGAGGTATCTCCAAAACATGCATTCTGAATGCAGCAACCTCTTCTTCAGGTGTCGAAAAACGTTGACCTCTCAGTTTCTTTTTTACGTAGGGGAATAAAAAGAAGTCATTCGGTGCCAAGTCAGGACCATTCGGCATATGACTCATCAAATCGAGGTTTTTGGTGCTCAAAAATGCAGTTGTTTAAGCTGATGTGTGAGAGCTCGCATTGTTGTGGTGAAGAGTGATCCGTCTTTGGCGGTTGGTTTTCCTGATTTATTGGAAGGCAGCTGGCAAACAAATCGTTGTGTACCACTCAGAATTTAATGTTCTGCATTGTTCTAGTGGTACGGTTGTGACATGTCGTTTTTCCGAAAAAACATGCGAACATCTGTTTGGAAGTGCTTTGTGTGCGAACAACTTTTGTTGGATTTTGTTCATCTTGAAACACCCATACTGTCAACTGCTGTTTACTTTCGGGCTCATATGCGTAAATTCACAATTCATCACCTGTCACGATGTCATAGACGTGTTTCGAAGCACCGCGATCATATTTTTTGAGCATTTCTTTCGACCAATCAACACGAGCGATTGACAAATTGTGTGGGATCCAATGGGAACAAATTTTTTTGACAGTCAAATATTCATGCAGTATTGAATGTATGCTGGCCTCACTAATGTCTAAGGTTGTCTCAATCTCACGATAGGTAACATGACAATCTTGCAATATCAGTTCACGCACAGTATCAAAGATTTTCGGAACAACAACTCATTTCGGATGACCTGTAAAATTCGTCTTGGAGTGAACTATGACCACGATTGAATTCACCATACCATCGATAAACACTGGTGCTAGATGGAGCTTCAACGCCAAAAATTGAATTGTTCATCCCTGCACTGTTGCTGAGTTAATCCTCGTCGAAAGTTGTAAAAAATAATTGCACGAAAATGTTCATGATTTAATTCCATTTTTGGGCCAAGATGAACCTTTTAAGTTACTATAAACAACACAAATAGCGCTCGTATGCCAAAACGTTCTGAGTACATATAATCTCAAAACATCCAACTTTACGATAGAGCTGTCAGTTGCCAGATTGCAACACCAGGCTTTGCCAAATCCCGAAATATAAAAGGCAACCTTCGTATTACAATCCTGATGACCGATGTAGAGTTGTGAAAGACATTTGATAAATTGCTTGGGACAGCCTCTGGCAGATTTGGTGTCTTAAATGAACGAACAGAAATATTGAACATGTTGAAGGACAAACATTTTAATTCCTCTCTGGTGTGTTGATATTAGATGTATACCCTAATGTTTTCTTCATGGATTGTAGTAGAAAAGAAGAGCACTTTCAAAATAATTTATCATGTGTTAAATAGACTTTATAATCAGTTACTTTCAAAATTATTGGTTATTCCAAATGTGACTGATAAAAATAGTTATAAAGGTTTTTTGACTAAATAATTTTTTTTATAACAATGTAATTTTAAAGTTGCTAACGAAAAGAAAGACATGTTTATTTTAATAAAGATTTTTTGCTCATCAATTTGTTATTAAACGAACTACAATATACTACACAGAGTGGCTGCTGCTATAGTTTGTGCTTTTGGTGGAGGCTTGCTGAACTAGTGATGCCATGTTTTTTTGAAGTCAAAATATATGATGGCAGAGTAACTGTTCATAAACAGCGTCTGTAATGAGCACCAAATGCAACAAGCTAGGATATATTATATAGTGTGACTGAAGCGCCTCTCATCTTTGAAGCAAATTGAAGCCATATTTGCAGTCAAAGAAGTGCCCTCTGGGAAACAAAGTATTCTATGCTGCGACTCTGCTCCTCGCAGGTCTCAGCTGTTCACGGTTTCATCTAATTGGGAGCTTGAACGTCACAATAATGACCTCACTATGGTGACATTTAAGCATCCAATTGGATGAAACTGTCAACAGCTGATGTTCAGGCAGCAAAATAGTCGAAGAAAAGTTGGAAGAGCATTTTAATGAAAACTGCAACGGAACATCACCTCTTCTCTCTCAGTAGTTTTTGTCAGACAAGAGTGTTCTGGAAAAGAGATGACACACAATTGACAAAATTTGTTACTTGGAGAAAGAATTAACGAGTATTGAAGAAGTTGCCACAGTTACCTCTGTCCAAACGAAATTAAACCTTTCCTTATGAATTCCGTGGCCTTTTGCTTGTGTTTCTACTACATACAGGGCCTGGCACACTGGATCAAATCTTGAAGACGTTCAAGATGCCAGCTTTTTTTCGCATTAGCTTGTGGTGACAATGCGAGCAGGCGTCTGCGATAGGAAATTCCTAGTATTTTGACTATGCCAATTTTACGCGGGAGTTGCCCAGGAGCTGGTGCGATCTTTCGGTGACGCTCCGAACCAATAGAAAGAAGTTGACAATCAACTTCAAAGAACTTTGTACGAAGAAATGAATGTTTGATCAACAGAGAAATTTGCACGGCTTTTGGGGGAAAATTAAGACTATCCGGAGGCGCCAAGTTTAAAATGTATATTCATTTTCTCTGAAACGCCTTCAAAGAACAAACGCTCTGTTAAAAAAAGCAAGGCGCCAAATTTGAAGTAATTTGGCCGGCAATGTGTCAACAGCTGATACCTGACAGTGGCAGAGTTGCAAAAATCGCAATATAGCATTACATGTGGTGCTGGTTACCGTCAGTTACACTGCCACTCGTATGTTTTGTCTTCAAAAAGCATGGCAGTCACTAGTTCGGTGAGCCTCCACCAAGAGCGCTGAAACTATAGGGCCACTCTATCTAGTGAATTCTAGTTTGTTGGCCAAACGTAATGCTAGAATACTTAGTTTCCTAGAGGGCACTGCTTTGACTGCAAAAAATATGGCTTCAATTTGCTTCAAAGATGTAAGCGCATCAGCTACTCTATGTAGTGTATTCCAGCTCATTATTTAACTTTTAAAACCATCTCAGCTGTGCAAATTAATTTCATATATGTAAATCTATCAAATGGTTAAATACATGAATGGGTATCTGAAACGTACCCTGCCACATATCACAAAGCATTATTGGTTTACATTTCCAGAATCGTGAAGGTATCAATATTACAAAATAGAACTCAATATGTTTTACCATTAAAAGAATTTTTAAATGATAACTGTTAAAAGAAGTAGCTAAAAACCCATAAATATTGGTAATTTTCTATCTGTAACTCTTTGAAGACTACCTCAATTAAGTGCTGCGCATAGTCGCCATACTTACCACAATCATCTGTTAAAAATGAAGCTTTGCCTAGTCTAGACCAGCCAAGCCAAGCCTACTGTTGGGGCGTTTAACAGCCCACACTAAATCTCCAATATGATGGCATTGATGCCTGTCTGCCAGTACCACTAACTTCTGAACCCAAGGGTTTCAACCGGACCGCGATATTCAAAGAACGGATCTTTGGAAAGAATTGCACTGCGGAATTGATACAAAATTACATTTTTCCCTCTCTTTCTTCATTTTGTTAGGTTAGGAGCTCAGAGAATAATATATTGTTCTTCACATTCACAACATATATGTGTGTATATAACACATAAGTATTAATTATTTTGTTGTAAAGAATAAATGCCTGAAAATATCTGATATATTATGAATAGTTGGAAGACCTTTGGGGCCATTTGCATTACAGTGAAAACAGGTTTTTTTATTTTTATATTTTACATTTATTATTACAATGTTTAGTAAAACAGAGTGTTTTCCGCTCTTTAGACTATTATTTGTTGCAATAGTTTTTTTAATTCATAAGAAAAATTACGAAATCAAAATTTAATATTAGTAACCAATCCAAATGTTATGAAAAGTATTAATATGGGAAACCTACACCACAATACCACAAAAAAAAATTTTTTTTCAATCTCTCACACATCAAAATTTCAATTTACAAGTGGCCATTGCTAAGCATTTTAAAATTAATTTAAGTATAGGAAGATATTGATTACAAGATAATATAATTTTGAATTGGGGTCAACTGTAAATAAATACCTTCAAATAACTGTAGTTTTGAAAATATTCAAATGAAAATTAATCATTAAAAGCTCATGCAAATACTTACTAATTATACAACTATTAATACAATTAACTAATAACTAATCCCATATGGGACAGCCAATTCTTTGAACAAATTTAATTATTAAAATGCATTGTTACTCGGTAACATAGTCAAAATTTGGATTCTCGACGACTGCAGAATATTTTCTCCGTGCGTAATTGCGTCCAACAAGGTAATGGGAATAGTGACAATTACCAACTAATAACTATTCATTCATTAACTGTACAAGTACTGTACTTACGGATAGCATTTCTGAGTGGGCCATTTTTCTTCATATCACATTAACCGCAATGCAAAATTCAGAAAGTATCAATAGAAAAACCATCCAACACCATCCAGCAATTGGTCATGGTGAACCAGCTCCAGACTCGGCACCCTCAGAAATCCCCAAGATGGCATTGTTCACAGATGATAGTTTGCTTTGGGAGAAAATATGTCATTCCTTTTTCAATACATCCTGCTTGAAATTGCAAATATATTTCTATTGAAATAGTATTCAGAATTGTACTATTTAACAGATATTCATAATACTAATAATATGAGGGAGTTCGCACAATTGTGCATTTGTTATTACAATAAATTATAAGATATTAATGGTTTCAACCCAACAATGGTATCTTCACTTTTTTCTGAAAGTCATTTGTTTCTCCAATTATTAATTGCTGTTTGAAGTTCCTTGAGATTATGTTGTTTGTTGATGTGATGCTATTATTTAGTGTGTTTTGGCTCATTGTGATAAAAGTTTTTATTTTTATGGAAGCCTCATGTGATTTGGATTGCAGTTTAAATATTAGTGTATAGTTATTATTGTATGATAATTCAAATATCAGCCTTCTTAAGGCTTCATTTTTTAAATAATTGTTATGGTATTGCCATTTGTCAAGCTCAGTTCTTCTGTGAGAAGTGTTTCAGCTCTCAGTAAATTTTGTGACTAAAGTCCCTTAATAATAATAATATTATTGTGTACTGTATAATACTTTATCAAGACTATATTGTTTATTCTCAATATAGAGTGAAATGAAGGTTTTCAAAATTTTGTTGTTTGTGATGAGTGTTGTTTCTTTGATGTAAGTACAACAGGTAACTACACAATCTTTGTCAATATACACAAAATTTTCATAATCTGATGTATATTTTAAGTATTGCGACTGCAAATTTCATTGAAAAAGTTGAAAGGTTAGGAATACATATTTGCAAAAAATGTTGTTTGCCAACAATGTAAACAAGACAAAAGAGATCAGAAATGTGAAGTGGCAGATTTTAATTTTTTAAGAAAATGTCCTGCCTAGTACCATCATATAAACTTTACACAGGTGATAAATAAGTTTATTTCTTACAATGTCTAATACTAGTTCTTGATAACTTGAATGATAAGTTTTGGATGGTAGAGGGCTCATTACTTGGTTGTGGGTAAAGACAAATGATCTTAAGGAAGAAGCAATTATTTGATGAATTCCACTTAAATCGATATTGTATAGTGCCTCGATTATTTTTTATTATTATAATTATTTTTTATATTATAATTTATAATGAGCATTTTTTTGCAGAGTGTTTGTCACAGTATTTTTATTTGTTTAAATTCAGGGCATTGGTTCAGAGGCTTAGAAAATAATTTTTGATTTTAAACAGTATTAAATTTATCTAATAGGTCAGGTTTGTAATTTGATTTTGGTGTCAAACGCTGTGAAATCACTCCTTGAAGACCCTCATAGAAGGCTGCAAAGAAGAGGAAAACATTTTATTCAGATCAAACAAGTTGGGACAATGTGTGTGTGTAAATGTTTGCTCATATGGAATAGTGTACCAGCTTTTTAAATTTATAAAGAAGAATTCAATAGTCATTACACAAAATAATCATTTAAGTTGATATCTTTTTTATTCAAAGGTCAACTCTTGATTTCTGCCAGACAGTAGATGTGAAGACAGGGTGGTGAAATACCAATAATTGTAACCTATTGTCTATAAAAATATCCAGTCACCAGAACTGAATGAAGTAAATAGTACTATTTGTTTTACAGATCATATTGAAACTTCATAACTTCATTGCATTAATGTTTTATTCTGAAGATGTCACATGTTACTTACAAAGTGATATGTAAATTAGTATATTAAATGTGTGATAGGCTAATAATAATTTCATATTGGACTGGGCAATTAGATAAACATGTTCTGTTAATTTTTTTAAAAAAATTTTTTCCTAATCATTACATTCTAGTCTTGTAAACTAATAGGCAATTTTATTTTTACCAAACTACAAACGAAATAAAATTTTGTCTAGGAAGCTACCCTGTAAATATCTTGTTTTCAAAAAAGATTTAAAACACATTTTTCTTGTGGTTATGGATTAACACTGGTTGTAATGTACTTTTGACACCCCTCTTTACCTAGTTCAAAATGCTTTCTGTCTTCTCACTAGCTCCACGGCGTCCTGGGTAAGAATTGCTGCAGGATTGTCATGTTGATGCTGCCTTTCTGTGCGATTTCTCGTTAAGCTTTATATTTCTTAATTAACTGCTTCAACTTTCAGATTCTTGTGCAGTAATAAAGTATATGTGAACGTTAAATTTCCTCTGTTTGTTTTCGCTGAATTATGATCGTTGTAGTGAAATTCTGTTTTCTTGGCCTCGTTGCAATATATTGGTTGTGATATCTTGAGAGTAAGTCATTTGGATGAAAAAAATTTAAAAAATTTTGTTCATGCCATTGTGTTTCTGTTTCGTAATAATTAGACAAGAATATGCTTGATCATATTATTGTGAAAGAAAACAACCTAAAAACAAGTGCTTACACTGCACAAAACATTCAGTAATCAAGCTATTCAATCAATCGTTGGTAGCCCACCTATGTAAACAATATAATATCCTGTTTTGATTCACATTAATACCATACAGCTCTAGCTTGTGCTCTGATTGTGAAGTACGTGCAGAGACATAGCCATGAATAAATAATTTTCTACTTTTTTCCATCCAAACGAGATATGATCAAGATATTGCCACGTATGTTAGTAGCAGTACAGGCTTGAATGAGACTTTTTGAAGTTATTGGAAAAATTTTGTAAATTCATTTGCCCGTATTTCCTGGAATGCACATTTAGGGAAATCTCACATATAGCACATTTTAACATTTCATTTACAATATTTTATGTATTATAGTCTTTCAAAACAATTCTTGGAAACTTATTTTTAACGTTTACTGCTATTAAAAGTATTAGTCATATTTAGACATAGTTTAGACCTATTTTTAGATTAAACCTCACAAGATGCGTCTTGATTCGAGATGGTACCCGTTAATTTTGATTTTGAGAGGACATTTAATTAGTGCTAAGTTATTTTAAGAGAGGAACGCAGCTTTTTTATTCTAAAATTTAAAGCAGTGCTTTGTAACCCATTATTTGTAAACGCTCAATAGCCCGGAACGAATTACAGAACTTGTGTTCAGGAACCCAAAATGTCTTAGTCTCTTTTTGTGCAAGAAATGATAAAACTTGTTCTGTAGCTAATAGTAAGCGTAAGTTAACTATGGCCATATATTTATCCAATTTAATCACGCATTATTTTATGATTTAATTACATTTTTAATCCATATTTTTTTCATAATTTGAACATTATTAGTCCATATATGTGTGCTGTTCCTTACAAATCCTAGCCTTGGTGATTACATTTTGATTAATGACGATTCTAAAAATTATCAATATGACTTACTTCCAATGTTTTCTATAATAGCTGGGACCAATCTATCAAAAATCGAAGTTAAGTTGTTACTGTACAAGTTGTACTCTAAATTTACCTATTCATTTTCTTCACTGCTAAAAGTTTTTTGTTTTCCCTTTTAATTTGTCTTGTATGCTCTCTATTGAACTAAAATTAGAAGAGTGCCATTCTATTTCCCCTTGTTGCTTTTTTAAAATTACAAAAACATTAGCTTTGTGTCTGAATTATTTTTTATCCTAGGGATACTTTTACAAATTTTTTTGAGCTTTTATTAACTGTGTATCTTTTTGCATTGTTGATCCTAATTGAGGATGGTGCTCTGCAGCTCGAGAAGAGCATTTTCAGGATCTGAAGAAATTCACTCAGGATTTTAAACTGGCCGAGGGCGAACCTGCTGACAAAAAGCAAAGTCCCCCTCAGCAGCAGCCACAAGCCCAGCAGCCACAACAGCAACCACCACAGCAAACTTCTCAGCAGCAGCCATCTCAAGTTCCGTCTCAGCAACAACAGCCCCAACAGCAGCCTCCTCCGCAGCAGCCACCGCCACAGCAACAGCAACAAACGCCACCACAGGCCTCTCAACCACAAGGGGACGAGGTCAATAAGGAATCCCCTGATGGGGTGGACAAGGTGTCCTCAGCTTTGAAGAAATCAACTCTGAATCCTAACGCCAAGGAGTTTGTATATAATCCCAATGCCAAGCCCTTTACTCCGGTAAGTGTCTGCCTCTAAGCTTGATATTTATGTTCTGAAAAAAATGTTTCACACTTTCACATGATTGGTTCCATTTGTTTTTCAGCGTTCTGCAAGTACTCCAACACCTTCAAGGCCTCATACTCCCCAGACTCCACAATACACCCCTAGTATGACAATGGTGATGCCACCATATGTTGCAGTGGCTACTAGCCAGCCTCCATTTACTCCTGCTAATCAGGGTGCTCGTTTTCGTAAAAGTGAGTATATCAATCAATAACTTTCTGCTTTGCTCTAGTATTTTGGTAATACATTGATATCAGCTGATAATTTTTATGATGTAAGGGTTAAAACTCTGAAATAAATGTCTTATGAATGTAGGTTTTAAAACAGGTGATTGTTAAAGGTCTCTCACTTTGCCACACGAAAAATACATTATCTGTGCTCTCAACACTCATTTCCATGATATTACTACACTGCTTTAGAACATATCACAGTTATCATACATTTTCCTTAATATAATTTTATTTGGTGAGATTAAAATTATTTTTGTATTAACGCAACACTCCATTGTGTATTAGAGATGCAACATTGCTCCAAAACCATCGATGTTTTATAACCTCTTTAGAAACCTTTAATATTAACCCATTTTCACATGTTAAAAAGTAAAACAGTGGTTGTTGTATATTTGTTCTTTTCTTCATGTTTCTACTTTCTCGTGCTTAAGAAGGATCTTCTTTAGAATAGAAAGGTATGTAATGCTGCGCAAAGAAATGGCTAATTTTCGGCAGAAAATCTCTTATTACAGGGGCCCCGGTAATGAAAAAATGGATAATTCCAGTTGCTAAATTTAGGGAGGAGTGTGTGTGGAATCCTCAAATGTGTTGTAGAAAGACTCTGTTTTATGGGTCCGTGATACTGAAAAATCGATTGACGGAAAAACATGTCTGTCTGTCTCTCTCCGTCCCTGTCCGTCTATCTCTGCCTGCCTCCCTGCCTGCCTGTCTGTGAACAACGTTTGTGGCGAAACTGTTCAGCCGATTTTCTCCAAAATTGATATTTCTTTATCAATCTGGCTGATGTTACTTGAATTTGAAACCAATATTTTAGTTTAGGGGGCGTCCTGTACATCCAGCCCCTGGGACATCATAATTTTCAAAAAACTGGCACCATCAATTTTGATTAAAAATACTCTGAAGATCATTTAAGGAAATGGTGCATGTCTCATGATGGTTAATAACCCTAATTTTCAAAAATTGAAAATATCAACATTTTTCATGTCTTTCAACAGATAAAATTTTAAAGATGGAGATTTTTTTCTTTTAATAAAAGCTTTTCCTTAAAGATAGAGTTTGAAATAAGCTTGTGTACAATTTTTTAAAAATTTGAATTTTTTTGGAGTAATTGGGTGTCAAAGTTAGTGACTGCTCTGAAAATCCTGTGCATCTTGATAGTAATTTTGGAGGTGTTTGAGACAGTTGGATGCTTTATAAGTTAGAATTAATATATTATTTTATCTTATTATATTATATTATTATTATTTAATATATATTATATTGTATGTTCATTCATTTAAATTGCATCCTTTGTGTTAAATATGAAAAAGAATAGATGAGCAGTCATTGTTGGTGGTTGTTTCCCATTATAACTATATTAACACCGCACAGATAACAGAAGTCAATAATGACAGCTGCTTTTCGTTTGCAGTAATAAAAACAAATACTTTTATACATTAGTAGAGTATTACAACATTATATTATACTTTATTTACTTTCTTGTGCACTGCTTATTTTTTGCACCATATGTTCTAAGATTTCAAAGGAGTTTTCCAAAAAATATTTCAGAGAGAAATCGTGGTAAGAATAGTATTACATAACAATAGTAGTACTAATGGTAAATAACTTGCCAAAGTAATCAGACCTAAAACATCTGCAATGTATAAACAATTTTTGGAATTCCTCTGTGCTAGAATTTGATATAGATGAGGTCAGTAAAGCTTTGTACACTCCTGTCCATATTCATGTTGTTTTGAATCTTTGTCTAAAACCATGTTTAGCTGCTTTAGCCTGAGGTACAGTCAAAGGGAGAGGCCAGTGTAAAACATACAGGATAGCCCACATTAAAGTTCACAGGACATATACAGTTAAGATCATATGGTTTTGCTATTACTTGAGGAAAATAATTGTTCATAAAATCAAAGGTTGATGTTTTTGAGCATGCAAGTAAGGGTGAATTTAACTCTGGTGTAAATGTTTGAGTAGTGGACATATTTAGGTTGACAGTGGCACTGTTTATTAATTTATAAATACAATTTAGCTGCCAAAACAAACCAAAGAAATAATAAAACATTACAAAACTTTTAGTGTACTACCGAAAATAGATATTTATTCACAAAAAATCCCAGGAGGTATAAACTACAAAATATATTACAATATAAATTTTGGAGTAAAGAATACACAGCTGTACACACATTTAGAGACTTAATATATTCTGCCTGTATTGGTTCCAAGTATCATGGATTAAGCTATAGGTCTTAAGTCAGTGTCATTTTGTATGTTGTATAGAATACTGAAACTTCCTCAATTCTGAACTAATAATTATGAATTTTGACAATATCTCTGCTGGCACTACAGAATTTATACAAAGATGCAGATTTGAGTAAATGCGTATACTACTAGAAGCCACACACAGTGATGTATTGAAATTATTTGAGAGGAGAAGGAATTCTTCAATTTGTATCTCCATATTCATGACTCGTAATGATAATACATTGCATATTTCTAAAATTACAATAAACCTGTTCAGCACTACAAATGAAAAAAAAGAATAGTGTCCTGTCACTCCAGCAATTCCAAGTGCTAAAATTGTTTTCCATTTGGTGCACTAGGGTCAACATTTCCTCTTTTATCCAAAAACTCTTCACCCTTCGTCACTTTGGCAAGAAAAGCTGTTCAATTAACTGTTAGTGAAGATTTTGACAGGTTTTATTGATTGATAATGATAATTTATTGTATGATAAATTTCATTCATTCATTAAAAAACTAGAGTTCTCCAACTGTACATACTTTCTCATGTTATTGGAAACCAATACGTAATATTGTAATACTAACTGAAGTACCCCAAGGTATTTATCACTATAATATAAAGGTATTCCATTTATTCCTGCCTTACCACAGAGCCTACTTGTATCTGTTCTATCGTATCCCCGCTCAGTCTTGCCCAACCTCTCTACCTTGCTCCCACCTGGATATACCATGTCTTCCTCACTTTCTCACAAAAAAATTAATAATTTTTAGATTGGAATATTATGTATTTTTTCCATACTTTCAGTTAGTTGCCACATTGTGAAACTTTCTCCTTTTCATATTTTTTTCTTCTAGTGTATTTATAAAGAAAACTTTGTAGTTCATCTTTGACTCTCACACCAAGCAATTGAAATATAAATATAAATGAAGTGCATTTAATTAAATTTGAACTTGCGTTTTAGGGTTCTTCATAAAGATAGAATGATGCTATTAACCACTTAGACAAGTATTATATCTCCAAAAATCCATGATCTCACATAGGGGATCCCCGCTTGACCAAGGTTTTTCTAAAAACTTATTTGTTCTATTTTCCACAACCTTGAAAAACAGTGTCGACATACATTTAGTTCTTTCCATTTCTCACTATTTTATTTCAATAATTCTTCTTGCGAACTTTCATCAATTTAAATAATTATTCCTTCATCAGCAAAAGGTACCCCTTCTCCGCTATCATAAAACACTTATCTACAAAAATTTAGCCATCTGTCACAGTTTCAAACTCTCTCATTAATCATTTATAATAAGTTTCACTTTCACTCATGCCGTCCCACCTGCAATTATGCAAGAATCATACTTAATATACAACTAAAGTAATTACTATTTCTTGTAGAACTCGTGTGTTTGTTCATACCTTTTTATGACAATATGAAACTTCCATCAGCAAAATGTCTTTTCCAAACATTCCATATGTAAATAAGTATACTTCTCTCTTGTATGCTTAATACATTCAAGTCTAAACACAATTAACATTAATATCCAAGTTCCTTTCATAAATAGAATGAAGAAAAACAGTCAGAATCATTCTTAAATATAAAAATTTTGCATTAAACCATTAACGGTAAACACAAAACAGTCCTCATATATTCTACAGATATAAGCACTTCCGTTGATTAATGAACTAATAGTTAGACCTCAGTTGTCATCTTCTTGTTGTACACAGTCAAGATTGAACATTGATGCCTTCTTGAATCTATGATGCAATGCCAGGTGAAAAACTTCCAGAAAAGTAATTATTTTGTGAATATTAGGAGGTTTATCATTGTAAATCATAGCCTATACCACTCCTGATCTTCAAAGGCAGTTAGTACACAAGTTTCATTACTATTACTCCTGTATGTTAAGAGATTACAGCACTGTAACAGAACCCCCTTGTGCCATTATATTAGTATAGATTGTAACTTCTGTCCTACTAACCCTTCTGCTATAACTTAAAGTCCAAATCAAACAGAGCATCTGTGGTGCATAACTGCATTTATTTCGATAGTCAGGGGCAGTAGCAATTTCTTACTTTTACAAATGAAACAAACCTGAATAAATGTAACTGTTAATAGTATTTGTAGCACATTATAAAGATTTCACACAAGCTTGCCTTGCTTATATCGAAGTTGAATTCTAATTTTTTATATGATAATTGGCGGTCAGAATTTTTTAAGTTAAAGAAGTGTATTTTTAGGTCTAAGTTAAATATATTTATTTTAAAAAGAAAGAAATCTGCATCATACAGTAATTGACCTCTGATAATGAGAAGAATTCTAAGAATTTCATATTGCCATTTTGCAAACAAAGTCCAGAAAATTCGCATTTGCAATTTTTGGAAATACAAAAAGTAGGCTGAAACTGGGATGAGCACCACTCTTATGCAATTCTTTGCTACAAATGAGGAAAAAAATTAAAGAAAAAAATTGTTACTGTTTTTGAAAATATGTGTTTAAAATTTAAAAAGTACTTAAGTTTCAAGCAAAATTATCTGGTTTCAAAATCCTGAGCATGACCTTCTTTAAAGATTTATTTTTGAGAAACAGAATTCGGGGGGGGGGGGATGTTATCATTATTATTGCAGTTGTAGGAAGACATTGAAAAAATGTTGAACGTTTGCAATGTTAGAAAATTGAGGGGGGGGGGACAAAAATGTGACCTGTGCTACTTCTTTATTCATCATTTGCTCTATCTGAAGAGAAAATTCAAAGAAAATAATTGGAGCAATTTTTGAAGAAATTTTGAAAATGTTGAGCGTTTCATGAAAAATATCCCCAGGATTTCAAATATCCATTTCAAATTCAAGGGTCTGTGACATTAATGAAGTCAATCAGTGAATGTCATTTTTGTGAAAATTCTGTGTAAGGAATAGTGTTCAAAGACAAGATATTTTGTCAATCGAGTTTTTGGTATCAAGGACCTACCAAGTATGAATTTTGACTGCACAACATGTTAATTTACTACAACCAGGAAAAGGATTTATCCACTTTTCATTTCCAGAGCTGACAATATGATTTTTGCTGATGACAAATTGCAGTTTTTTCCCCGCAGCATTACAATATTTCCTCAATTTTACATAAGGAGTAAGCAAGAAAGTAATAAACATTGACATCATAAAAACACAGGTGGTTAAGAACATCAGCTTCAGTAAACTGTTTTGAAAACATTGATGTAAACATTGCATCACTACTGTGTGTCTTTTATATTTTATCAAATATGTGGTTTTGTGAGTAAATCTCTCTGCCTCTCTCTCTACCTCTCTCTCTCTCTCTCTCTACCTCTACCTCTCTCTCTATCTCTCTACCTCTCTCTCTATCTCTCTCTACCTCTCTCTCTCTATCTCTCTCTACCTCTCTCTCTCTCTACCTCTCTCTCTCTC